AAATAGCGGCTGCTTTTCTTTTATTGAAAATAAAGATTACAAACTCTCAAGAAACCCTAATCGACTCTCATATGATTTTGAATCTATCTATTACAAAGAGAAATCTCTTGGTGCTCTTTTTTATATATTTTTCTCTATCTGAAACACTCTATTTATAGGCAATAACCTACCAAACCTGGATAAGATTAATGCTATCCAGAACAAGAATAGCCTTATCCAGAATAAGGAATCTGAAGATAGTCATCTAAAAGATAACAGAGGACGGCACAGCCAGAGAGTCTCTTGTCAAATAGAACAGAGGCTCTGTGAGTATTCACAGAAGCTCTGGTCTTCACAGAGGGGCTCTGGTCCAAGGGACTTGGAGTCCAAGAACTCTGATCCGCATAGAATCTCACAGAGGCTCTGGTCTTCACAGAAGCTCTGTAGTCTCTGAAAGAAGCTCTGGTTATCCGGGACTCTTTAGCACAGAGGCTGGTCTTCTAGACTTTAGACGTTTTGGCGCAGATACTTCTTCAGTTCGTCTTCTAGCTCTGGATTGTTTCATGAAACTTTTTCAAGTTAATTATTAGCTTTAAAAATAAAGCTAACAATCAATAATAAGCACTTTTGAGTGTTTGGATAAACAACTTATACCGGTGCCAAACCGGTAATAAGAAGTTTTTTAAGAAATTTAAACCCTTCTGACTTATAATAAGTTAATAAGTGCTTTTATAGAAAAACATAAGTTGTTTCAAATAAGCAATCCCAAACACCCCCTAAAGTATCACAACCTATTATGGTTTGAATTGGATTGGGTTGCATTTTTGTTTAAATTGGATTGGATTAAAAAATTTCAAACCGTAAACATTAAATTAAGTGTTTTAAATAACTTAGGGGTTGTTTACCAAACGCTTACCTAGTAAGTGCTCACCAAGTCACATTACCTTACCGGAAGAATATAACAAGGACCAAGAATCTTACCTGATAAGAGCAAGCCAATGACCGAGAGTTTTATCCGGTAAGTGAGGACGATGCTCTTACCACGGTTAGCACATACCAGGTAAATTATTGTATCCAATGCCATTTTGGTGGACTAAAATCTTACCGGATAAGAAAATGATAGTATTGAATTTTATCGATAAATATTTATCAGGTAAGTATTTTGTAAACGACTCATTAAACCCGATCAACCGAACTCATAAAAGTTACAAACAATACCCAATTTTTTATGTTTTGAGAATATTTTTGGAATTGATGAAATCATTAAAATATTGTTTTATTATTGGGAGGGTGCCAAGGTACCGCCCTTATTCTCCCAAGCATGACTTGTAGATATTCCCATTGTCGTTTCAAAGCTCCTTCTCCATAGTTTCTTCCGTTCTCTTCGATCCATTTTCTCTCAAAACTCTCCACATTTTCAATCGAGCTTCTGATCTCTACGTTTACGGTAAGATTTTCAACACATCTTCATTATCTGTTTGTGTATGATTGCTTGTGTGTGTGTTTGATTATTGAATGCTGATTACAGTGAGTTTTTCTTCCGAATTAGTTTGTGGATTTTGTTCGAAATCAAACGAGTGTAGTCGGTTTATTTGGGATCTAAGTAGATCTATCCATATCATTGCCAGGTTAGAAGAGAAGAATGGCGAGTAGGGTAGATCACGAGTACGATTATTTATTCAAGATCGTGTTGATAGGGGATTCAGGTGTTGGGAAAACCAACATTTTATCGAGGTTTACGAGGAATGAGTTCTGTTTGGAATCCAAATCCACCATCGGAGTCGAGTTTGCTACTAGAACTCTTGAGGTTCGTGTTCTTCTTCTTCTTGTTATTTAGTTTGCTTTTGATTCGAGTTTAATTAGGGTATTTCCTCTCAAAATTAATGTGAAATGGATTTATATTTAGTTCATAATCGATTACAATTGATAAATTGAGCATCATAACCGATTGATTATGAAGCTAAAACTGAACATATGTATCCCAATATATTGAAGTTGAATCATACCTGGTTTCAATTTCCAGCATCTTTGACACTAATTTTTGAGACAATGTGGTATGATTCTATCTAGTTCCTTTACAATGTGGTATGATTCTATCTAGTCCTTTTGGTTTGGGGGATATGATAGGATTTGGAATTGAAATCTATTCCAATCCTATTTTGGTTTGAAGGAATGCTTGGATCTGAAACCACATGAGAGCGGTTGGTATTTTGCGAGATTTTATAAGATTTGTTTGTAGTAATGTTTATAATTTATTTATTTAGTTTTTCATAATTGCTTTTTATAAATTATTTATAAAGAAAGGAGTTAGGTTGCATTCCATATCCTATAAAAACCAAAGATTTCAAATCTTTTCACGAAATCTAAATCCCCTAAAAACATTTCTTCGAACCAAATGGGACCTTATGTCTCGTTTGGTTTGTAGGAATGGAATGGATTTGGGGGATTTGGATTTCAAATTCATTCAATCACATGTTTGGTTTGTTGGATTGTCCAGATTTGAAATCCTAGGATTTAATTGAAATCCTACAAACATAGGATTTTGAAATCCTTAAGGGGTGCTCGGGATTTTGTAGGATTGTATGAAATAAGGTTTTAAAAAATGTTAAAAACATTTGTTTTGTAATAATCGATTATAAAAATGTAATAATCCTACAAATCAAGCACACCAATGATTTCAAATCCATTCCAATCCAAATCCCTCCATGAAAGCCAAATCCCTCAGAAACAATCATGCAAACCAAACGGACCCTTAGGGTTTATGGTTTACTGTATTTCAATTTATGGTTTTTACTATAATTTGTTCAAATGTTGTGCTGATATTACTTTCAACTTGACATATGTCGGCTTCTGGAGTTGTGTTCATTGGTATTATGTTGTTGGCTTGTTGCTATTCTATTTTCATATTAAGTGTTAAGCATGTTAACTAGAACTCTTTTTGATTGTTCATGGTTATGAAGGATTCATTTTAGGGATTGTTGAAACGGGAGAATAGTAGTCAATTATGTGAAAACTTTTCCATCGTGTATGTCTAGATTACGACACCTTTGATTTGAGTACCGATGCTTAATTATCATTTGTCATAGATTTTTTTATAAAATATTTGGTATAACGATAAAAAGCATGATGTAACATTAACAATTACCAAAAGCAATTTCTTCTAGAAATTTCTATGGATCATAAAAAATGTTGTGATATTATCAATTACATTATAAATCACTAGAAATTACCAAAACCATAATTTCTAATACAAAAATGTGTGAGATAGACACTTAAGAAATTCATTAAGAAATGTCGTAGTGGATGGTAGCAAACAATTTCATTAAACTATTTGTCAAGTCAAATGTTCGGAGGATATTGTTTTGCCCATTTCTTTCGTTTTTTATTTGTGGGCTCCATTTCAATTTACCCAAACATCTAAAATAAGGGATCTGTTGCCTGTTGGAGTCCCATATCAGCTAAATTAGGATCATTTCTTCTATATCTATATCTATATCTATATATGTGTGTGCGCGTGTTAGAACCTCCTCTTTCTTCCCAAGGGCTTTTTTGGAGAGTGATCTAGTGATTCCACATATTCTCACATGGTATGAGAGCCAAGATCTACCACTCTAGGTACCCGACATTCATGGCTAACCCCCTCTCGACACTCTGGAATAATTTGTCTCCATCTAGCCTCCGTTGGAGGGGGGGTGTTGGAGTCCCAATGAGCTAGACTTGGACCGTTTCTATTGTATATACCTTGGAACCTCCCTTTTCTTTTCAAGGACTTGCTCTTTTAGAGAGTAAATTTGGGAGTTTCACATATTTTCATGGTATACGTAAAATGAAAAAAATGGTAGAAAACAGGAATCGATGACTTGTCTACAAATAACTAATTATAAATTCACAATTATTAATTTCTTTCATAAACAAAAAATCGTATTCAGTAATACTCTAGTGGGTGCCCGTGCCCCCTTCTATCGTCCCAACATAATGGAATTTTTGTAGGGGTTTAAAGTTATACCCGCCTTACTTTGATGTCTACTCTCTTAAGTTAGCAAAAAGTGATTGCAGCTTACTGATAGTGTCAGTGCACTTAACATTACCGGTTGCAAGTTCAAATCGCTTAGCCTCTTTTCTAATTTTTTGATAACAGCATCAGAAAGAAAACGAAAAAACCACTTCGGTGTTGCAAAAAAACCAGTTGTATGTCATTTTTAATTAAACTATACCAAGATTTCACCAGTGATTGGAATACAGGTTGATGGAAAGACGATAAAGGCTCAAATTTGGGACACAGCCGGGCAGGAAAGGTACAGAGCCATCACGAGTGCCTACTACAGAGGCGCAGTTGGAGCCCTTTTGGTCTACGACATAACCAAGAGACCAACGTTCGATAATCTCCAAAGATGGTTGCGTGAGCTCAGAGAACACGCGGATTCCAACATCGTTCTCATGATGGCCGGAAACAAATCCGATCTGAACCATCTGAGAGCCGTGAGTGAGCAAGATGGTCAATCTTTGGCTGAAAAAGAAGGGCTTTCGTTTCTTGAAACATCTGCACTCGAATCTTACAATATCGAGGAATCGTTTAAGAGCGTTTTGACGGATATATACCGAATTGTTAGCAAGAAAGCATTGGCAGCTGAAGAAGGATCAATGGGTGCACCTGGGAAGGGAACCACCATTGATGTTGGTGGTGAAACTGGGAACACAAAGAGAGGTTGTTGTTGAAGTTAAGTGGTGGATTTTGGGAGGTAAAAGACTTGGTATGAAGCACATATGTTGTCTGTCTTGCTTTTGTGTTTGATAAGAGAGTTTGTAGAGTATTGTTTGTTGAACAATTATATTGTGATGTGGCTATAGGCAAATAAGACCATATTGCCCCTTGAATGTTTGTGTTTATTGTTCTAATATTTTTCTTACAACCGTGAGTTTTAAGGTTAGTTTATGCGTACCGACTAATTCTTTGGATGATTACAAATGATTTTGAGAAGCTGTTTGGCAGTTGTTGAATGGTTTGATGCATAATGATTAAAAGTCTCTCATGATATAGTGTAAAATGAAATATAATTGTTTGGTAATTGTTTACAATGAAATTAGGGCGTTTAATGATTAAAGGAAGCCCGGGATACCAAATCATTCAAAGGGTTTTAGAACCGTTGAGAGACAGATTTTTTTTTTGCCAAACAAGATTCATCTCTTAATAGAATTATTAAGAGGTAAACAAACAACCCCAGAGTCATTGAATCTTCGTGGCCACAAGAGCTTTGACAGCATTTAGATATGAACCTGGAGAATATGAGATTTTCACTACACCTTCACGAGTCTTGATTATTGTCCTCCAACCAAGTGGTTTTCATTGTTCTAATATTTGTCGCGGAGATAAGGTTGCATTTGATATGTTGGAAAATAAACAAGTTTCTTCTGTGTTTGGCAAGCAAAATATATGAGATATGAAGAATTATGTGGGATAATTATGTTTTTGTCTCATCCATAACCTGGAACAAATCGGGACAAAGAATCAAAAACCAATTCTATAATAAAATAAAAATATGATGATATATATAGACGAATGATCATGTGATAAGGTGGGAAACCTAAGAAGAGATCTGGATCCATGATTATCTTTAATCTCAAACTCACCCATTAATCGTGCTTGATATGGGAATTTATCTGGTGCATCTCATTCTAATATGCATTGATGGAGTCTCATGGAGAGTCATTTTTACGCTTCTCACTTTAACTCTCATTCTCACTAGAACCCAACCCTTATTTGATATGCTTTATTTTATAATTATGTATGACAAAAAACATCGAACAAAACTTGGGGAGGGTGTTAGGCATGTCTCCCGGGCCGGTAAATCCCATGCATTAAAGCATATGCCCTCCACGTAACTACGGTGGCCACAAAGTGTAGGGGCAAGATTCGAACCCGAACATTAAGCAACACTTAGCTGACATTTGGTCATTTTGCATTTGTTCAGTCTTGTGTCAATCTTATCAAATACTATGTCCAGTCTAGTTTTGTCCTATAAAATTCATTTATCAAACACAAGTCACGCATTCCTTTACATTTTGGGTTAAAATGGTAATGTATTTTTCAAATTGTTTTCTATTATAGCTTGTATTTTTTTCTTATTACAGTAATGTATTTTCAAATCATTTTAATATGGTATTGTACTTTGAAAATTTAACTCATTATAACAGTAGATAACTTGTTACCTTTTTTTAACCTGTTATCCCATTGCTTTATTCTCTTATGTGGCATAATTCAAATAACATGGACGACATAAAAAAAACCCATTTAATTTTGTAAGGCCTCTCCACTTTCCCGACCGTTTTTTTCCCACACAGTTTTGGCTTTCGTCCCTGATCTATGACTCATGGAAAACCTTTATCGTCGTGATAGTGCACCATTGTTTGTGCTCGAATGATACTTTTTTTTTTTGTTAACAATGTGTGTTTGGGTTGACTTGTATACCCCTCGATTAATCCCATATGCACAAAAGAATGACAAAGAAAATCCCAGTGTCTCAATTAATACTTTGAGCACCACATGGTAACGTAAAAAGCAAATATAGCAATTAAATGTTTCAGGATGAGCCTTATCCTATTGCATTTCTTTGCATTCGTATTCTTTTATGATAATTTGTTTTAGTTTAGTTGTTTGTATGGTTTTTCCATTAAGTCATCTATGAATAAAGTGTGTGTATGAATTAATCTGTCTATATATATTGAGAAAGTTTTTGTTTGAGAGAGTTTTTCATATATGGAAGGAACGTGTTTTTTTAATTGAGGAAGTCAGGTTTGGAAAAAGAACTTGGTTTTTAAAAAAAAGCTCCCTCCCTAAAAGCTTACTATTAAGCTCCAAATTAGTGGATGCTGCCAAAGGGAAAAAGTGAGCCACCGGTTCAGGTACAAGATACACAGGTCTCCGCAAAGTCGTAAGACCATGTATGGGGGCTGACGCCTGTCCCCGATAAGGGAACCCTAGGAGAGCCGCTGACTCAAATAAGCAACTTTCTATTTCATTAAGCAACGACCAAACAGTGATGTATATATGACTGAATGAACTGTGAGTCCCATTAAACTTAGTAAGCTACCAACAAACAAATCCCAAGTCAACTAGTTAGGGGCATACTGAAATAAGTTGCTGATTAGCCGAAAAAAATCATATTCAATGAACCATTCTTAGGTCCACGAAGATATAATCTAAAAATCTATAGAAACAACAGACAAGTGATATATAGATACAAAATGCAAATGCCAACATATTAATACGACGAAAACGAAGGTTTCTTCTTATAGGAAGATGAGCAAAAAGAGAATTCCCGACCACTCAAGTCTCTGGAGATTGGAGCAAAATGACAAAAACCCTTTGAAAATTTTGCATTCTTTCGGTTTCGTTCAATTTTTCTATTTTTTTTATAATAGAATTGGTCCCTCAATCTACTTTTACTTTTATTACAGATTAGTCCCTCACTGTACTTTCATTTTTATAACTAATTTGGTCTTTTCCTTTGAGAGTTGTCCACAACTGTATGACCTGTTGGAATCAATCCGTTACCGTTAGAAAGGTGGATAAATATGGGTGGGCCAAGCTCGATTATTAAAATCAAGGGGTGTTTGTTTACCTCTTAATAGTTTCATTAAGAGACAATCTCTGAATCATTAAGAGGTGAATCTTGTTTGGCAAAAAATAAGTCTGTCTCTTATTGGTTCTAAAATCCTCTGAATGATTTTGCATCATGGATCTCCCTTAACCATTCAGTGCCCTAATTTCATTGTAAACAATTACCGAACAATTATATTTCATTTTGCACTATATCATGAGAGCCTCTTAATCATTCTAACCACTTAATCATTCTACACCAAATCATTCACCAACTACCAAACAACCCCTAAGAGATATATATATATATATATATATATATATAAAATATGTTATATGGTATGTTTCGGATTTCAATCTTGACATATTGATGGTTAAATATTTATTATTAAAAAATACGAAATTCGAAGATTGATAATCCTGGAAGAAAAAAGGTTCATACTCCGTATGTTTGTGAAACTAATTTTTTTCTTACACTATGTACTGATATACATTGGTATTTTACGTCTGTTTTTCAGTTGGACAGAAAGTTATGTAATGTATTTTAGATGATTTTACATGGGGAGTGCTAATGGCACCCCCTTTCATGTCAGAATCAGGTCATTCAAGCATTGAGAATGTAAAAAGCATGTACTGATGTTGATGTGTGTGAAGAAGAAATTCATGGATAGGGGTGCATTAAGCAATGCATAGAGGTGCATTTAGCCCACCTCTTTTTACTTAACTTGCCATTTTATATTTGTTTTTTAGAAGTAACTTTTTAGGCCTATTAATTAGTACAACCTGCTTATTGGGACGGGTGCATGTAAGTTCTCAAACCCACAAAAACGTATTTGGGTTTAATATACCATGCCTCTTGAACAATAATAGCTCTATCCTGGGCAAAACCCAAACTTGTAAATAATTAGATCTATCTCTTTAATCAGTAAAAACTTTGTATAACAAACACATATAGGCTTATTAGGAATGCACCCATTATATTATACTAGAAGGATACTCGCACAATGCAGCGAGATACATCTCGATTGTTATGTTTCATTTTATTTTTTGTTATAATACGGTTTTATATTTTTTTTGAGAAAACAATAATATAAATTTAAATATATCATAAAAATTTGAAAAAAAAAACACCGATGTTAGTATCAAATTAACTATTTAAAAGTTATTTTTTATGTAAGTAATTTAATTTGGTGCTTTTTATTGTAACTTAATTTAGGTTTGATAAATAGATAATTTATTTTTGGTTTAATAATATAATTTTTTATAAAGATAACACTTAAGTATTCTGTTATAATGATCATCCTGATTATATTCTAGATTTTTTTATATTTAAAATAAGATGTTTATTCTGTTACGATTATGAGTATTTGTTGTTAGTTACATAAATTCAAACATAAAGTTTTAATAAATTGTATTTATGCACAATTTACTTGTAAACTTGAATTTTAAGTAGTATACACTGATAAACAATACTCCATACATAAAAATGGTTTTTAAAAGTTTTTATCAAATATTTTATAATATAATATAAATAAAATCAAACAACTTTTTTTATTAAGCACCGCTTAATACCTCTAAATAAACAATCTTAACTAATAATAAGAAATCGATATGAAGAAAATAAATGCAACGGATTAGGTGCAATATTCATAAATGAGGATGAAATTATGTTAAAAAAATACGAGGAAAAAGGTTGCAAATGCCGATTAAAGAATCAAAACCCTGGATTTGAATCCCCCATTTTCATTGCATAAATCAAAAGGGTAAACTTCAATATATGATGGCATTCAGACAACACCATCGCCACGGATTCATCGTCCTCCAAGCATTTTCATCCTAGAACTCGTCATCTCCGCCCCCAATCCTCTCTGTCTCTATATTCCACCATTTCATCTCTTTCTTCTTCCATGTTGTAATGTATTGCCATTATTGATTACACACCCACATAGAAACTGGGAACATTGTTTTCTCTATGTTTTTTTTCATCTTCCATTGACAATTACCTGGGAAATCTGTGATTTCTCGGTTCGTTTATGCGTGTTTGAAAATCTAGGGCTTCTTGGTATTTTTGAAAACCCTGGTTTTGGGGATAACTTTAAAGGGAGAGAGAGGTTAAGAGATCAATGGCCCAAAATGGTCAGGGGATAGACCCTGCCTTACTTGATGATATAATCAATCGGCTATTGGAGTTCCGGCAGGCGAGGACGGTGCGGCAGGTTCAGCTATCGGAGTCGGATATCCGTCAACTTTGTACCGTTTCTCGTGAAATATTTCTTCAACAGCCTACTCTTTTAGAGCTTGAGGCTCCGATTAAGCTATGCGGTAAAAAATAAATCCTTCTTCGTTTATAAATGGATATATCATGTGGTATTTTTCTTGAGATTGTGCTTTTATTATGTATCATGATTTGTTATATTGGTTGGCATGATCTAATCTTGTATTATACGTGGTATTGTGATTTCGATGAATAGTCATTTGGGTTTTTCGTTTTTTCATTTATTTGAAAATGGGTTTTAGTGTTGATGATTTTGTTGGCCACTGTAGCCCTGTGTATGAAAGGATCAACCAACTTCTGTGTGTTGCTTTGATTTAGGCCTACAAACATCCATGGTTGGGTGTTCATGGTAAATATTACTCAATACTTATGTGTAGGTAAAGAATTCGGTTGTTCGGATGTCTTGCAGAACTGTTATGGTTAGGGATGTGTGGTTTAATTCCATTAGTTGCAGATATGAGAAATCTAGCAGCAGATATTTGTCGGTAGAGTTGTCTGATTGTCTCTAATCCATTCTATAATTACAGAGGATGCAGTGATGCTTATTGGCTATATAAGTTAACATCAATTTGAGATATGATGTTTGTGATCATCCAACAAAATCTTTATTACGGTTTCCTTTTTCCCCTTTATATCCACCAAGAAAACTTAGCATGATCAAATTTTGACAGTTCAGTATCAATCCAAGTTTGGTACTTAGATTGGTGTGGGTCAATTTCTTAATCGAGACTTTCTATGTAGGTCCCCAAGTATGTGGCAGGTTTTTTAAGCAAAATCATACACTTGGTACTTAAGTTGGAGTAGGTTGATTTCTTAATCCAGATTCTCCCCATGTAGGACCGCAAGAATGTGGCAGGAACTTTAAGCAAGATTAATCACTTGAAAATCTATCTCTACCTAAATGTTTGAATGTTATATTGCATTCCCTTACCTAAGTGGAACTCTTGTACCAAGTACATGTGAAATCATGTATTTTTGCAAATATGTCTTTCTTATGCTTCCCCACATCTGGAGCTGAGAAGCATTACTCCTGGTCCCAAAAGAAGTGCAACAAATGGTTCTTTTATTAATATTAACGCAGTGTTTTAATATTAGACGACTTTCCAAACTATGTTGGTTAAAAAGTAGTAGTGGTTCGATGTAAGTTATATTTTGCACACCGTGCATTGTTTTAAAAAGCATTACGTAGAGATAGGAGGCTGTGTAATCTTGTAGAGCTTAACTACGTAAGCGGGAATTCGGGGAATAGGTAGATGCTTAAGCTGAATATAAGCAATTAATTTCAGTATAATAATCATTTTTTATACAAACATATGAAAATTAATTTTTTTGATGCTTTATCCTTTTTGTGCTATTACTTTTCTGACCAAATGATCAGGAAGATTCCCTCCAAGTTGAGAGAAGTAAATTGATGAATAGAAGTTAAAAAAGGTGGTTTTATCTCACTTAATTTTTTGAAAGGGTTAATTCAACATCAAAGTGGTGGAGAATGCTTAATTCCTAGGTTACCAATTAAGAGGGCCTAACTAATGGAACTATGAGGGGGTGCTTAACATCCAGGCAGCTGCTTGTTTATGGATGAAAGAGAGGAAAGTTCTCACTTGTTTATAAATTTGAACTTGAAGAGAGGGACCGTTTCTATCACATATGGAATGATATAAATGAAAAAACAAGTTAAATACATCATTTAAAGTTTCTAAATATAGTAATGTTGCATTTTTATAGGACGTCCAAAAGATGTTGCACTTATATTGGCACATAAGAGAAGCATCTTCCTTTTGTTACCCTTTTAGCTTTATATACTGCTTCAACTGTGAGGAATTTATGGTTGAACTATAATACTCAAAGGGCTTTTAAGGTTTTCGGACTCGATGTTCTAGGAGTGTCCTGATTTTCTATTGCATTTTACTGTTTCCATTTGGATTCTTGTAATACATTTCAACTTTGTCCACTTTTTAAAATATATCTTACTTGATTAATTATTCCTACGTCTTAAGGATGATTAAAAAACGAGCCTCCATCTCTTCTAGTACACTGTAGTGGTAGTTGGTCATTTTGAAGCACATCCGGTGAGGCCTTACTCACTGGTCTTCTCTTCTTGGATTGATGTGAGAGGTTCGTCAGCTCTACTTCTGTCCATGCCTACTTTTACCCATCTAGTTTATTCTTCTATCTAGTACAATACAATGCTGGATGCCGATGGTTTAGCTGGAACAGGGCATAAGGGCAAGTCTCTTTTTCAGTAAAACTACACGTTTCTGCTACCTGATGACATCACATGCTTGATATTGAAGGATAATAACACATTTTCAATGTATTTGCTCTTCTATGGACAATAACAAAAGCTACCCACTTTCGTTTCTTCAGCTTATCTTTCTTTTCTTTTGAGGTGTCCTTGCTGTGAGCCTGTGCTTCTGTACCACAAGTGTTCCTTTCGGATTGAGGAGGATGCTCATCCTATTATAGTAGTAATAGCCTTAATAATTTACTTAGGTGGGAATGAGAGAGCATGTCTTAGTGCTCAACATGGATTGGATTTTGATTCTTTGCACAATGCACAGTAATGTGCTTTGACCTATGCATTTCATAACAGTGTGATTTGACACACATGCGATATACAAGTTTTTTGATGGTCAAAGTTTAGCAGATGCCCCACACTATTGTCATGAGTAAACAGTATTAATTGATAACGAATTGATGTTGCTATTGGTGCATGATACAAAAATTTGCATTTTCTTCTGATTTGTATTACTTGTTCTATAGCTGAATGGGTGACATGATGGTGATGCTTCTACCATGTGGCGGAAAAGAAGGGGTTGGGGGGTTGGGGATTCGAAGGAATACAAGATATTTACATAATTTGGCAATCTAGAAAGATAAAATTTGAGCAAGAGGAGGTATATTCAAATCGAACCAGATCAGACATTTCTCTCCTGTTCCCAGAATCCCACCGTCATTTTTGCACCCCATTTTCTTCTTCCATGAATACAATTCGCTCGTCTCATTATCAACTTTAAACCCATGGCTTCTTTATCTCCACTTTACTCACATTGGGAATTTATATCTTCCTCTCTCGCCTTATTTCCCTAAATAAAGTTTTAACGCAGTTAAACTGCATCATGATATCTGATCCTTTTTAGGTTTATTTGTCTTTGTTCTGTGAAGAAATTAATGTAGTAATGACTGATGCATAAAAATCTTGCAAATAAGATTTCTTCAGCTGTTTTGGTTGACTTCAGTGTGGTGCTTAGTTGCTTATGGATAGTTCTTCTATCCAAATTTCATATGCCCCTCCATTCTTGCCTCTCAAAACATAAACATTCTAGGTGAGGCTTGTCTTATGCTTCTTTTCTTTTCAAGCCTACTGCTGAATGTTTTAGATGATGTGTAGGAACATGGGAATGCGTGATAGTAAGACATTGAAGGTTAGTAGTGTAACAGACAAAGAAATTCCAGAAAGTAAATTGTAAAATTCTTGGGGTTGGTAATGCTTAAACTATACGACTGCTACTTATGTAGAAATTGTCTTCCTATCAATCCAGGCCCATTGAGCTTGGTGTTATTTTTGGTTTTGGGTTTTGTTGCAGAAATTTTTAAAGGAATGATATCATTTTTGTAATAGCATTGCGCTGTTTTATATACTTAGTTATAGGGAATTGATTCCTTTATGACATTTTGTAATGGGGTTTTTTGCCAAAAATTTTGAAGGAACCTTTTTGTAATAGCATTCTGCTGTTTTTTTCTTAAATTTATTTTCTTTACATAGTTATGAGTATCCAATATCTTTCTGATTTTATTGTTAAGGCATTGATGTTCAAGTGTCCCTTAGGATTTAAAAAAAATCATGAATGCTAGAGGGTAGAAGAGTGCTTCATTAGATTTTATTGGAATGCCTGTTTATCCACTCTTGAAACTATAACCACCATATCAAAATGGAACTTTGGGTGCATCGATCTGGAACTCCCTTGTTGAGTCCTTACTGTATCACTTGAAGGCTTGGCACATCCATTACTATTAGGAATATGTGTTATAGATTTTTTTTGAAACTATAAGTTGCCAATTTTATGCACTTGTTGATGTGCAATATAACCTCAAATTATACAAACAATAAGTTGAAATAAAAAAGCTTAGAGATAAAAAATGGTAAGTGGGGTGTTATCGCTCTTTCCCTTATGAGAATTGCTTTTCTGACTTTTTTTGTGGCCTAATCTACGATCATTTCTGCAATATTCAGTATGATAATTGCAATTACTGAATCATTTGCAGGTCACTCATTGCAAGGCTATAGCCTATTTTATTTCCAAGTGAAATTAGCAAGTGTCTCTACCCTTAATTTCCACACAGATTGCTTTAGAATTTAGATCAAAGTTGAGCATACTTGGGTATCCTACCCTTAATTTCCAGAAATTGAGAATATATGAAGATGTTAGTTTGGCAAGGATTGGGCTTCTGAGTAAATCCCTTAAGCACATCATAAGTAGTTATTTGTTGCTATTAATATATCAATGTTTGAAAGGTTGGAATCGTAGAAACGAATATCTTTTTGGGAATCTGGTCTTACAGGTTTGAGTATGCAAGTATCAAGTTGTGCTTTATCTTTAAAATGAAGCAGTTTTGGCTTCAATGATGATTCTCTGTATCATTTAGTTGTTTGTTCTACAATTTAATCAACTACAATTGAATCGTACCATGATATTTCTGCTAAGAAAGCATCTATAGTTAATGGATAGCAAGGTTCAAATCTGGACTCATGTGATGGATGGTAATGTGTTGTTGAAGAAGAACAAAGTAACATTAAATTTAGTAAATCATTGTTAGCAATAATGAACTTTCGGTTGGCTGGTGTTAGAGCCTTTTACAAAATGAGCACCTAGGAAAAAAAGGCCAGAGGAATCACAGACGTAGGGCCTCATATTAATGTGAAGTGAAAGGAAAGATTAAGCTTCTCATCCGATTTAAATACCAGCATGATCTACCATTATCTGCTTATTTTGTAGTTATTTTCCTCTTAATGCTTATACCTCTGCAACACAAGTTGGATATTATGATATACCCATATGGCATCTCTAATTTACTGTGGTAGAAGTTGAACAATAGTTCTTATATTTTCCTGTTTTGGTTTCCAGGTGACATTCACGGGCAATATGGTGATCTGTTAAGGTTGTTTGAATATGGGGGGTTTCCTCCAGAGGCTAATTATTTATTCCTAGGGGACTATGTGGATCGTGGCAAGCAAAGTCTGGAGACAATATGCCTTTTGCTTGCCTACAAAATAAAATACCCCGAGAACTTCTTCCTGTTGAGAGGGAACCATGAATGCGCTTCTATCAACAGGATATATGGTTTCTATGATGAATGTAAACGTCGTTTCAACGTTAGACTTTGGAAAACCTTTACTGATTGTTTCAACTGTCTTCCTGTGGCTGCTCTTATAGATGACAAAATCTTATGCATGCATGGGGGTCTTTCTCCTGATTTAACAAACCTAGATCAGATAAGGAATTTGCCTCGTCCAACTGATGTCCCAGACTCGGGTTTGCTCTGTGATTTACTTTGGTCAGATCCTAGTAGAGATGTGAAAGGATGGGGAATGAGTGATAGGGGAGTCTCCTATACTTTTGGTGCTGATAAGGTGGCGGAGTTTTTAATGCAACATGATATGGACCTTGTTTGTCGTGCCCATCAGGTAATTGAACATTTGTACAATGTTACTTGATCTTTTTTAAGGTCTCTGATGTAATCTAAATGTTCGTTATGTGAAGGTTGTAGAAGATGGGTATGAATTCTTTGCTGATAGGCAGCTTGTTACGATATTCTCTGCCCCAAATTATTGCGGTGAATTTGATAATGCTGGTGCAATGATGAGTGTTGATGAAAGCTTAATGTGTTCTTTCCAAATCTTGAAACCTGCTGATAGGAAACCTAGATTCTTATGATGCAGTGGTGACCCAAATACTTTTAAGGTCAGTATCAAGTTTCATCTTTTTCTTGTTGGGAGGAGTCGGGAAAATGTTGTTTGGCATATATAGCTTATATTCCTTTCTTCCTTTCTCTTGGTAAAGCATATCTTTTTTGTTGATGTCAATTATACAAGTTGGAAGAAATAACTTGAAGTTTTCATTAGTAACGGCATAATATACTAGGAAGCATAATCTGTCACTGAATCCCATAATTTTAGCAACAAATTTTGCAGGATAGATACACTGAACAATAGTGGAGATGCATGATATCTTCTTTATATAAAAAGAAGGAAAGAAACTATAGACAAGCTCATAAAATAATCCATGAGAAATATCAAATATGTTTGTTTTGTGAGCCATCTTTCTTGGCTATTGGACGCTGCTTTTTAAGTTGTACATGCCTACATGGATGTCTATCATGTTGCACTTGCTAATAAGAAACTTATAGTTAGATCTATGTAAGTCTCTTTGTTAAATATCAACCATCGGTTGCAAAGTTTGAACAAATGACATTTGAATCTCTCTTGCTTTTTATACCTTTTAACCGTTCTGTCTCCATCCTTTCTCCCTTAATCAGAATATCCATGTACTATGATAATGACTATGTCTTATTGGTTGAAGACTGTGAAAACGTATCCTCATTTTTACAGATCGAGTGAATCTCTTCAACCTACTTCTCGGCAGTTGCTTTAATCTGTATTAGATTTATTTAACTTTTGATCCAAACGTAAAGCCTGATGGACAATTTAGGCTCATTAAGATTATACAGAGTTAGGGGCTGTTTGGTTGGTCTTACATTAAGTCCTGATAAAGCTATATGTGTGGAGTAATCTGTCTGAATAGTTTGGGAAGGTTTTTGTTTGGGAGAGCTTTTTCATGGATGGAAGGAGCGTGTTTTTAATTGGGAGGGGCAAGTATGGAAAAAACTTGACGTCCTGCATAAAGCTCGCCCCTAGAAGCTTACTGAATAAGCCACTCTCTATATCATCAAGACACTACCAAACAGTCATATATAGCTGACGGGATAAGCTGCGAGTCCTATTAAGCTCATTAAGCTACTAACAAACAGACCCTTAAGGACATAACAATGGATTTATTGGGTTCTAGCCCAATTGTTGTCGAGAAAGAATCACCTGCAATCTTGATTTTTATTTTCCCTTTTCATCTACAAGGATTGTAAGTTGACAAAAAATTGGAGCAACTTATGAAGCTATCAGTTGCTCCAGAGTTTATAGTCCAGGAGTTGGTTTGACTCGTAAAATAGCATTAAGTTTTGAATGAAGTGAGATTCTCTTGAATGATTTTGCTTGGCACCGAACCGCGGTAACCGCCTTATTTCGGATCAATACAGTTCAACCTACGGTTCGTGTACCCAGTATCCGCCTCATGCCTTCCGGTTCACATTTTCCTTCCTAACCGAAACTTGCGCGTGCCTATTTGGTGTTGCACTTTGTATGCTTGAGAAGAGGATTAATAATACTGCTTCTACTTGAATTTTGAAAGAAGGCAGGTTGGACCCCTCTTTCATACTTGCCAAAAAATTGCTCTACCTTTCCTCTTCAGAATCAACTGGATACAATGAAGCAAATATAACAGAATACAGAAAACTGGAAAATGTAACCCTATAAAATAAAATGTGTTCATAAAATTGCGCTTTCCTTTAACATAGCTTTTAACAATAAAAGTTACAGGCTTTTCAAGTGGGCATAATAAGGAGAGGTGCAAGATTATATGTAGCAATTTCCACAAAATCTTGTTACATAATATTGTTCGAAAAGGCTCGCTGCAACAGACGCCATGTTGCGCCTTGGCTCAAGGCTTATGTCCCACTCCACGTTAAGCCGGTGGCATGCCATGTCTTAATGCGCAATTTTTTATGCGATATTTGATTTTTCTTACCCTTTTAATTTCTTATTTGTTAGCTTTTAATATATAACTTGATTTAAATTGTTTATTAATCATTGACTCCTTGAATAATTGTAGAAAATATATGTTTATATATAATATTATATATGATATCGAGATTTTTCGCAATAAGTTACTCCTTGAAAAACGTCATGGCCTCGCCACCATGCCACGGCTCGTGCGAGTTAGAACTTTGCTTGATGTAGAGAAACCTTAGGACAATTTTTTTGTTGTTTGGTTTTTCTACCTGCTCTAGCAGTTTGGTTTTACTTCTTTAGGTTTTTCCTTATTGGTTTCATCTTACGTCCCTCTCGTGTAGCTACTTGTGTCGTAATTTTTGTTTTGCAAACCGGGGGGTCATCATGGAAACAAACATCCTACTGTCATACCCTACCTCTGGGTGGGAGATACTGGGCTCATTTGGTTTGGTTTTTGCCACCTTCTAAATGCAAATATCAAGTTAACACATTATTTGTTTGAAGTATATAATATTTATATATGGCAAATGCTCATGCAAATCCTAACTGATGTTTGAACCTTTAACCTCTTGGGACGCTGGGCTCTGCCGGTAACCCAATTACCATTTGGCCAATGACCCTTTGGTGAGTTAGTATATTGTTATTTGCCACTGCAAGTACTTTACTTAATCTGTATGTCAAGTTAATACATTGTCTTATAAAGGGGGACGAATCTCGGGAATAAATGTATCGACTTCTGAAAGTATTCTCTGGTCATAAACGATTGTTGTTCGCTCTCATTCTGCATTTTTGTTGTTGTTGTGGGTTTGTTATATCTGGTTATTTTGTGTTCAATGCAGAATCTCCCAGATGCTCTCAAATATGCCACTGATGTTTTAGTTATTTTCCTTTTCCGTCAAGAATGTCGAAACACTTTTCATCAAATTCTTGCTGGTTTAAGATTGGGGGAGTAGCAGCAGACTTGCCATGGATTGGATATATATATATATATATATTCAGATGATCATTTTTCGATTTTATTTTTGTTTTTATTATTATTAATATTACAAAGAAATCATGTTTGTAATCTGTTTGTGCCCAATTTACGACACTGTAAATACATTTGGGGTTGTAAATTGTGGGTATGGATTGATGTTGCCACCTTCCAGTTACCCTTTGCAGCATCTCCTTTTAATTCAACCCCTTTTTGACCTTGTTCTTGAAATGCCTTTTCCTGTTGTGGTAATTTTGGATATCTGGGTGAACCTTCATAGATATAAGGGCTTTGGCAACGCATGGATTCAATCCAAGGATATATGCGATTTTCACTACGTCTCCTGAGCTTTAACCAGTGTGCCACAACCTAAGTGAGTGTGGTCGGTTTGCTAAATGTTCTTGGTGGTTTGCGAAATGGCTCACCCAAGTCGTATTCTAATATACAAAGTACATTTCGGAAGTTGCGTATGAAATATACATTTGTGGAAGTTTTAGCTATTTTGAGACAATTAAGAAAAGGGCGGGCTAAAAATGAATAAAGGGGAACCATTTAGCTATTTTTAACGATCTTCCATATATCTGTTATTTATGGATCCAATATATCTCACTCTAAACGTACTTCTATTTATAAATAATATCTACATTTTCATTTTAGTTTGTCTCAAAATGTTGTTCACTAACCATAAGGGTGGTGTTTGATTGGTTTGAGCTTGTCTCCAAAGGTCAAGTACCTGGAGGTCTCATATTCAAATCTAATGAGAAATAAAAATCCTCTTGTGGTCACAGAGGTTCAAATGCGGTGACTCCGGGCTATCTGTAAAGCAGGTGGTCGCCCTGAGATTAATCGGCTCACATAACGGATTGGATATCCAGGTTAATAAAAAAAATGTTGTTCACTTTAAAGAATAAGTCTCTTCTTATTAATTCTACCCTTAATTGGGTGATAGAGGAATTTATTAGTCCCTTTATTATGAAGGGTAAGATTATCATTTTAATTAATTAAAAATAATTATACTTTTAAAATTATATATCTGAACGCTTATTTTGAGATGAAGAAGGCAGTAATTAATTATCCCGTTCTTTGAATATCACAAAATTAGAGTATCTCCAACGAGAAGTTCTTATTGGTAGACTGGGTCATAAAATTTTATAACATTAGGAGAAAACAGTACATGCCAACTTCGAAGGGAAAATTTATTCATCAAGATGGTGGGACCCAATCTAATTAAATAAAAGAATATATTTTGAATTTTGGTTTTGAACCCGTTTTCATGATTGAGAGCGGAGGATTTATAAATTATGTAGGAAAGAAAAATCTAATGTAACAGAAAGAGAAATATGATGTGACAGAGTTATTGATCCAAAACACACTCGTACAACGCCTTAGAACATCCACGATGAGAGAATCTTATAAGCGAAAAACGAGAGTTTTTACAAGTCACCAACATGTGTTCGATTTATTCTAAAGAAACCTTGGTACTTGTATTGATTCAAATGTTATTTTATTAATCTCTTGATATTTTTTTACTTAGGGGTCGTTTACTAAACATTTACCCGGTAAACATTTACCGGGAAAATTCGATACTATTATTTATTATCTGGTAAGATTTTAGTCAACAAAAATGGTTTTTTATGCAACAATTTACCCGGTAAGAGCTGATCAGCTGACTGTGGTAAGAGTCATTACCCTCACTTACCGGGTAAGACTCTCGATCTTTGTCTCGTTCTTACCGGATAAGATTTTTGATCTTTATCATATTCATCTGGTAAGGTAATATAACCTGGTAAGTGCTTACCTAAGTAAGCATTTGGTAAATGGTCCTTTAATATCTACATTAAATTTAGTAAAAAGTAGTGTTCTTATTCATTATCGTAGTAAAGTTTTATAAAGGCTGTTAAGAGCATTTTTAACAAAAAAATACGGGATGCTAGAAAATACTCCAAGTTTAAAGAATTCTCTAAAACTTAATACATGGAAAGAGAAATGGATTTTTTTTTATTAATTCGCACCCAATTACATTATTATTATTTTATATAAAAACTTTTTAAAAATTATATTGACATAATAAATTTATAGAATATTTTAACAATATAATTATATAATTGATATTAAAATCTCTAAAATAGAAAAAACTTGGACATAGATCAAAAGTCAAAATCTTCAAAGGAAATTACATTCAAATTCCAATAGATTCTTTATTTTAGAGATTATAATATTCATCGTATTATCAAAACATTTCATACATTTAATATAATATTATTCTACTTTTCTAAACATTTAGGATCCATTTATACTAATTTATTTATTGGGTTCGTAAGAATTTATCGAAGATATTCTTAAATACTTAGAAGGGTACTCGCGTAATACAACGAGATATATCTTGATTTTAATATTTTATTTTATTCTTTATCTCAGTCAATGTTATAGTATGATCTTATGTGATTTTAAAAACGTGATGATGTTTTTATTTTTGAATAAAATATAAAATTGAAGATATCATAAAATTTTAACAAAAATATATTGATATTAATATCAAATTAACTACTTAAAATTCCTATTTTTCTTGTAATTTTCTAATTCATTTTTTTTTATAATTTAATTTAGGTTCAACAACAAAGTAATTTATATTTAGTTTAATAATATAATTTTTTTTCTACATATAATAATTAATTATTTTGTTAGAACTCGATAATTATCCTAATTATATTTTAGATTTTTTATATTTTAAAATGAGATGTTTATCATCTATTTGATTATGTTTATTCACAGTTAGTTACACGAATTCAAATATGGAGCTTTAATAAGTTATACTTATGTATAATTTACTTGTAATTTTGAATTTTAAGTAATATGCATCAATATGTCATATTTCACGCATAAAAAGTTTTTAAGAGTTTTTGTCAAATGTTTTATAATCTATATATAACTATAAAGCAGAAACATACAATGATGACGTGGCATCTCCTTGTACTAGTATTCATGTCTTCCTTTTTTCTCCATTTTTTCCTTTTATTTTAGGTTTTATATTTAAATCTAAGACTTTTACTTTTCATCTTCTACCATTACAATTCATTCTCTTCTACGTCTTTCTATCATAAACTTATTTACTCTTCGTCTTCTACCGTTACAATTCATTATTTTCTACGTCTTTCTATCATATACTTTTTTACTCTTCATCTTCTATCGTTACAATTCTTTATCTTCCACATCTTTCTATCACAAACTTCTTTGCTCTTCTCCATCTTGCGATCCCTATAAAAAATTATGGATTGACAATATAGCTGGCGGTACGCCTCTCTCTATCTTTTTATGCATCTATAGAAAGACATGAAACAATAATTATGCGTGTTTTACTTTTATTTCTCGATCTCTCTATCTTCTATGTTGTCTGCGATTAAAAGCAAATTGAAGGAGATTAGAGAAACAATATAAGGAGGAACAAGAAAAGTCTATGGCAAAATCAGTTGTTGGTGTGTTTTCTTCATATCTGAAGTTCCGAGAAAACTAATTAGATGCTCCAATATCTCCATGAGACTGGATATACAAAACATGGAAATTGTATGTTTTTATTTTAAATTACTACCTCAATTTTTGTTATTTTCATTTTGAAGATTGCAGATTGTTTCTGTAAATAATTAATTATTTATCTTCTACTACATTTTTTTAGGATTCGGGATATTCATAGAAGGAAAAAAATTATATATTTTCGAACTAAAACATAATTTGATAATTTTATACTATAACCATGTTCCATGTCACAATTTTATTGGATTTTTCATTATAAAACGTAATATTCGGCTTTACACCTAATAATATACCGAATTGATATATGTTATTTATAAATTATATTTTTATTTTTGACAAGAAATATATTACACCTCTCTTTATTCTTATAATAATAAGACAACCAAAACCAAGAATTTATTTATATATCTATAGAATGTATTATCTGTTATTTCACAATTTAACTTCTTTTACGCTACATATTCATTTTTCTACAACCAATATATTTTAACTCTCTTTATTCTAACATAATAAAATATTCAGAAATAAAATTRTACCATAATTATTYTGATATATTTTAACACTTTATATCGAATTCAAACTTATATATTCATTTTTCTACAACCAATGTAWTCTAACTCTCTTTATTCTAACAAAATAAAACATTCAGAAATAAAATTGTAACACAATTATTGTGATGCCTTTTAACATCTTGTATCAAATTTAAACTTATCGATGCTTTCTTTCATCAATCAACAACGACCGCGCGAAGCGCGGTAAAGTTACCTAGTATAGTATAGATAAATTTGTTTAGATATTTTAATTTTTGATTATTTATTTTAAAGAAAATATAAGCTCTAATTCTCTAAAATAAAAAATAAAATCAAAAATCAAAAGACCCGTCCAAATGTCATCTAAAAAGAGCAGAGCAGGTGATAGTTTGAGCGCCACGGTTGTTCCCCCATTTATCTTCTCTTCTTCTGTCTGGTCATAACTCGGAACCAAGAACTGAATTCATCAACCGCCACGTTGGCCGCCGTTGCTCGGAATCGGAAAACATTCAACGACGAATTCTCTCTCATGTGGGTGTTTTGCCAGGCTCCTCCAACCATCCAACAATCACACTTCCCACTCCGCACGCGCCCTCCATCTCGACTTCACTCCCACACGCGCCACCCCACCTCCAGCACTCTCCGCCCTTCCACCACCGACACCAACCACCAAATTCAGTCTCTCTGCAAGAAAGGCCACCTCCAACAAGCCATCAAAGCTCTCACTCAAGAACCCAAGCCAACTCAACACACCTATGAACTCTTAATCTTCTCTTGCACCATTGCAAATTCTCTCTCCGATGCCATTAAAGTTAACCATCGCCTTATCCACGATGGGTTTGATCAAGACCCATTTCTGGCGACTAAACTCATCAATATGTACATGGAACTGGGTTCGATTCAATACGTACGCCAAGTGTTCGACGGAATCTCTAACAGAACTATATATGTTTGGAACGCCTTCTTTCAGGCTTTAACACTTAGTGGTCATGGGATGGATGTGTTTGATCTCATCTGCTGTATGAATTCAGATGGGATTAAACCAGATAGGTTCACTTACACTTATCTGCTCAAAGCCTGTGTTGCATCCGAGACTTCGGTTTCGTTGTTACCGAAAGGGAAAGAGATTCATGCCCACGTTTTACGACATGGGTTCGAGCCGAATGTTCATGTCATGACTACATTGGTTGATATGTATGCTAGATTCGGGTGCGTATTGGAAGCCAGTTATGTTTTTAGTGAAATGCCGACCAGAAACGTGGTTTCTTGGAGCGCGATGATTGCTTGTTATGCCAAGAATGGGAGACCCTTTGATGCACTCCAACTGTTTGGTGAAATGCTGCTTGAAGTTGATGATTTGACACCGAATTCAGTGACGATGGTTAGTGTTCTTCAAGGGTGTGCTGCACTTGGAGCTATACAGCAAGGGAAGCTATTACATGGATACATACTACGAAGAGGGCTCGATTCGGTGTTGCCAGTTATCGCATCCCTCGTTACTTTATATGCAAGATGTGGTGATCTCGAAATGGGAAGGCGGGTTTTCGACCACATGGTTAAGAGAGATGTTGTTTCGTGGAATGCTATGATCTCGGGTTACGGAATGCATGGGTTCGGCAAAAAGGCAATTGAAGTTTACACCGCAATGTTGTGTAACAAGATCGCCCCGAGTCCTATATCGTTTGTGAGCGTTTTAGGAGCTTGTAGCCATTCGGGGCTTGTAGACGAGGGGAGGAGGTTGTTTGAATCTATAACGAAAGATCATAGCATGCGACCCACCGTTGAGCACTACGCTTGTATGGTGGATCTTCTTGGTCGAGCCAATCGGTTAGATGAAGCAGCCAAGATTATACAAGATATGAGGATCGAACCCGGGCCTAAAGTTTGGGGTGCTCTTCTTGGATCATGTAGGATTCATGGCAACGTTGAGCTTGCCGAGAGGGCAAGCAAGAGACTTTTTGAACTCGAACCTACCAATGCAGGAAACTATGTACTTTTAGCCGAGATTTACGCAGAGGCTCAGCTGTGGGACGAAGTGCAAAGAGTGAAGAAGCTGTTGGAAGCTCAAGAACTCCAAAAGAAATCTGGGTGTAGTTGGATTGAAGTGAAAAGAAAAATATACTCGTTTGCATCAGTTGACGAGTTTAATCCTCACATTGAGCAACTACATGCTTTCTTGATCAAATTATCGATGGAGATGAAGGATCAAGGGTATAGGCCGGAGACTAAAGTCGTGATGTATGAAGTGACAGAGGAGGAAAAGGAAAGGATTCTATTGGGTCATAGCGAGAAACTAGCGGTCGCATTTGGGCTGATTAATAGCTCTAGAGGAGAAACTATTAGGATCACGAAGAACTTGCGGTTATGTGAAGATTGTCATTCCGTTACAAAGTTTGTGTCTAAGTTTGCGAATAGAGAGATTCTGGTCCGCGATGTGAATCGCATACACCATTTCAAAGATGGGGTTTGCTCATGTGGGGATTATTGGTAATGTTTGTAAGGATACCAAGGCTATGTCACAAACTACTATTGGCTGAAAACTGATATAAACTCCTGATCTTTATAATCAACATGGGTTTCTTGTCTAGAGTTTGCAGTGGAGCCTAAAGAAATTATACTGTACAGTTTCCAGTGAATCAAGCAAACTTTTTATAAATGATGAACGTTGGTTTTCCAAATCTTTTGAATGATGATTAGTGAGTAAATATGTGATACAGGCTTTAGTATTTAATGTGAGTTTACCAGAAGTATGTTCAACATGCAAATGCTCCTTCAGCTTACTGCACAATCAAAGAGCCCTCCTGCTTCATTCTGAGTAAATTACTCTCAATGTTCCGTAACACGGGTTTGTAGCTGCAATTATCAACCCACAAAATGAACATAGAGATAATTCAAAAAAAAAAGTTACGAAAATCTCGAATTGGAAAAAGGAAGTAACCAAAGTAAAGAGGGAACCGTACAGGCGAGCAAGACCGTTGTAGGCTTGCATGGCCTGTTGGAGCTGAGCTGAGAGTTGCAAAACTTCTGCAGACAGTGTCTCAGCCCTGCTCTGTTCTTTAGCAAGTTGACCCTGCATCCAGAATTAGAGAATTGATGTAAAGATGTACAATTACACGGCTGATATTCTGTTAGGGCGCGTTTTGGTACATGGATAGGACTGGATGAGCAAGACTGGTGAAATAATTGTGAAAGGTTTTAGAGTTTTAATTTGACATGGATAGTTTAGTAATTTACCAATCTGGTAATCTTGTTCCATCTTTCGAAGTTTTGTTCCACATATTATTTTGTGGGACAAAAGAAACTCAGTCTGTCAAGTCCGAGTCAAATGCCGAGCCAAACATGGGACTGCAAGTTTTGTTTCATCACCAAAAGGTCATTGACCTAGCAGTACCCGAGTTACGAGTGAACCCAACCTTCAAAGAGGTCAAGGGTTCAAACCTCACTAAAGGTAAGGAGTGTGCGTGAGTATTTGTTGTCTACAAATATTATATACTTCAAAAAGAAGTTCTTGTTCTATTATGTCTCGTCTTGTTCCGTGTATCAAACGCCCATTTAGTGTACATTTGTAAAATATACATGTATGTGCATGAGTGCCTAGGCCTAGATAGAGATCAGATTGTCTTGAGAAGTTTATATGACTAACCTTTAGGGATACAACTTCAGCAGTATAAGCCTGAGAAATCTCACCCGCCCCTTCTTTGTTGAATTCCAATACACCTTTGTGACTCTCACGATCATTCACGATGGATATACTCGCTTGTTCTGTTCTCAATTTATCTAGCATGCTACGGAGCTCCTCATTTTGTTTCAAACAATCTTTTACCTGCATAGGTCACACGTAAGCCATGTTGCCATGTTGGGTAATCAGTTCAACCACAGAGTTGAAGCAAGTACAACCATCAAGGATCCTTTGGAACCAGGGGGGGATTCAGTAATAGCTTAGGGTGGCCGTAGCACAATGGAAAAATATTAGGGGTCATAAAGGTGCACCCATTTTAATTTGATATGTGTTTTCCCTAAGTTAACAAAATGTGGTTGCCGTCTACCGGCAGTGTCATTGCATGTAGCATTACAAGTTGCAAGATCAAATCCCTTGGCCTGTTTTTTTAATTTTTTGGTAACAACAGTATAAAAGAAGGAAACCACTTGGATGTTGCAAAAAACCAGCTTCTATGTCATTATTAATTACCGTATGTTTTATACTCAATTTTGTCTTATTATATATTATGTTAATTATTTTGTACCCGCTCGGAAAATTTTCCATATCCACCTTTGATTGGAACTGCAAATGGGAATGAAACAAGCATAAATGCTACAATCGGGCTGCAAAGTGACAACTAGACAACTTCAGTTTGAGCTTCTTATTATCCCAACAATGAGCATTGCAGCGTTAGTTTTTGTTTGTCAAGAATGCGTAACATAAGTATTTTACCTGATTTTCCCAGTGTGCCACCATGCCTGTTGCCTCTTGGTAAGCTGATGACAAGTTTGAATTGTCCTCAAAAAGCCTTTCTATCTCGGAAGATTGCGAATCAATCTGTATACAAAATTAACATAAAAACTCATATTCCATATAAGGATGTTGAAAATACCAAATTTAAGCCAAAAGTTGAACCTCCAATAGTAGCTTTTGTCTGCTACTCTCCAATCTCTCAACAGCTACTGCCATGTCATGCAACTGCTTCTCAAGTATCTCTTTATCTTCCTACAATCATCAGATACCGTCTATAAGAACTAAAATATGGTCCTACTAGTCATCGGAAAAATACGACTACCAAAATCGTTATAGAACCTAAGGGTCATTGCCCACCGGTATCCAGTATCTATGTTACGTAGAGCCCAGTCTCTCACGAGATCAAGGGTTCAAATCTCACCAAAGATGAGGAGCGTGCGTGGGTATTTTCCGTATATAAATATTATAAACTTTAAAAAGAAAGTCATATAGACCAAGGGGTCATAGGCCCAACAGTACCGAATTACTGGTAGACCCAGCCTCCTTTAAGGCTGAGGATTCAAGCCTCACCAAAGATGAGGAGTATGTGAGGTTTTTTGTCGTACGTAAATATATATACTTAAAAAATGTGATAGGCAGCCACATTACGTTTTAAATTTAGTTTCCACAAAACTCTTGACCATTCAAGAGTGTATTTAATGGCTGGGATGGAAACTCTAGCCCTAAGTTCCCTCTGAAACTATAGGGGATATAAATTCTATCAATAGTATTATCAGCTTCTGCTTTCCCCTTACCATTGTTAGCTGGGCTCCTCTTTCAGTAATTCCTGCATTAAACAGGAAATCGTCAAAACGAGAAAGTAATTGTGAACTTGAGTACAATATCAAAGGAGTTTCTGATAAAGAAAACCATGTAATGCAAATAAACATCATCAAAGAAGATAGAGAGTATCTGTTAGAAGTACTTCTAAGACTGAATCATTGAAGGATATAATTTCCTGTATAAGGTCTGCGTACATCCCATCCTCCCCAGACGCTACCTCTGTGTGGGATACACTGTCCGTTTAGTTTGGTTAGACTTGAATATACCTTTAACAGTGATAAACAGTAGGAAGATGATATTATTAGTTCTCTGAGTCAAGATGGTCTATAGTACGGAAATCATGCCATTGCCTCTTATAGGGTTATCGTGTTAATCATGTTCCAATTTCACAAGTCTTCTCTAGTTCTACATAAGTTATTGCGAGCTAGTTGTTAGTTTACTTCTCTTAGGCCTTCAATTTTGACACAAGCATGTCTTTTACCAACTCATCCACAAGTCCATAATAAATTTACGTTCCCAAATTTAGTTTGTGCATGCCATCTCCAGGTTTCAGATTCTTGTATCCTTATGATCTAGACCCCTAGTGCCATTACAAGTCCACGTGATATTATGCAGATACTGCCACTGGCTCGACATTCTGACCCAGATTCACCATGAATGGCTCATACCCTGCCATCATACAGAACTTCTCCCAACCTGGAAAACAAGTTTACACTAGCAAGTAGCAAACATTTACAATGCAAATTTTATTTTATTACATTAATCAAATTACAACTGATGTTTTTTCAAGTTTTCTTAAAAATACTAAACGATAAATTACAAAACATAATATTGATGTAAAGATATAAGATTAGGGAAATTATCTTCTAAAATCAGTTTTTTTATTAAATGGATTTAGATAGACTCTTCTTCATTCACTTCTAATAAGTAATAATTATATTTAATCATAGAATTTACAATATAACACTCGATAACTGAAACCAAGGTTTCTAATAGCTTTCTGTAATAATTGTCTTCTATATTTTACCATGAGATTATTGTATGCAAAATTGAGCTCTTTTTGGTCAAAAGAGCATTTTCTTCAACTGGTTTGTTTTTACACAAGAATCAAAATCTGAATTTAATAAATTATAACAAGCTATTTGTAAATTCAGGTGAAGTTTATTTTGTTTCATAAGAATTTTTGAAATATTCCTTAAAGCAAACTCAAAGTTGAGATTGCTAAAGGTATGTAGTACTGAAACAGTGCAGTAAAAAGAATTTTGTTCCTTTTTTTTTAAGACATAAGCCCTGTATTCTTTAGTTAATATCTTAATAACATGTGAGACGTTCTAGGTTACTCCAATCTAAATTTTGGATAGGTTGTGGTGTAGAAGAAAGTAATCCGCAATTACATCGATTTATAGGACTGCATTTTGATTAATTGACACCACTTAGAAGAAAGTGACTAAACCTTCTACATTGATTTCAAGTATAATGTTCAATAATCTATCTAGTTATTTTTCTAAACATAAGTTACTATCATGTTATCTTTGGTTTAAACTTGTACTTTGATATAAAAAAAAATTGGGTGTGAACTTGTGTAATTTTCTAATGTTCTGTTTCAATTCAAGTTGTATGAAACAAGTTGACATGATTGTCAAAATTTGGATCAAGTAGTTATATAATATGTAAAAGATATCTGGAAAATGTTGTATTGAAATGTTTGAACTCCAAAGCATATTGGTATTTTTCTGGAAATTAAGAAAACATTTTTAGAAATCCCTTAAGTTTGACTACGACATTTTGACATAGTAGAACTGATCTCCGGGAAATAAATAGTAGGGTCGACCATAGCTGTATAGCGTGACATGATGCAGAAGGTCATTGACAGCTGGTAATTGAGGCCAATCACTGGTGGATAGTGTGGCATATTGGCATTTCATTGGTAAATGGTGTGACATTCTGGGGTTCAGTCATTGGTAGATAGTGTGACCAAGTCGACTAAGATAATAATCAACTAATGATTATTAAATATGCAAGATCATTTTGAAGCATTTTAATTCTTATACTATTGAATCATGAAACTTCTTTTTGGTAACCATGGTTACCGGGCCAGCTTATGCGCATGGACTAATCCCGTGGGCGGTCACAAATAGCCTGGAGTCATCGCAGGTGAACCTCCATGGCCACAAGGGCTTTGGCAGCGCATAGATTCGAACCTGGGGTAGATGAGATTTCCCACTACATTCCTATGAGGCTTAACGAGTGGGCCACAACCCAAGTGGTTGACTATGAAACTTGTTATTGACAATGTTGGATCTTTTAAGTTATGAATTAGAGATTGTATTTCCTATACAAGCTTTTGTAAAGCTTGGTTTTTTTAAAGAATCCTAGTTGATCCAGCTAGAATGTTTATTCCATAGGCTTTGCTGCTTATTCTTTCAATATTTCAGGTTTTTCAGATGGGCATAAGTTGTAGGCTTTCAGAGTGCATAAGGATTTGGAGCATCTATCCACCGCTATGTTTTAGTTGAATTCTAGAGTTTGAGCCGTTTATGATTATTTTGTCAAGATGTTTATGATTTAGCTGGATTTGAATTGTTGAGTATTATTTATCGAGTGTTATTTAATAAACTTTCATTTGGGGGTCTAAGTAGTGTGGTCGGACGATGCTGGCCCGTGTTTCTGGTGGGGCGTTACATTACAACACTTAAAAAAGTAATATATAGACTTAAACATCTCTAGATAACACAAATCAAGCTTCAGAATCATAGTAGATCAAGATCTATGGTTTGGAATTCAATCAGAAAAGTACTTTTTTGGAAGTCAACAAATAAACTGTCAATATCGACATGGAAGGATACATGACCTCGATTACGTCGCAACCACGTAACTACTAATAAAGCCAATAATGCGACAGCATTTAATTTCATATCTTTAATTCTCATGAACTAATAACTGCTAAATCAGACTTAAGTTTCACATCATTAACCTATGCAACATGGACCACTGTGAGGAAGGGCGGTAGTTTGCATATCTGAACTTAGTCAATTCACTAGTATTTAATTCTGATGAAGAGAAATAAATAGTAAACAACTCATTCATCAAATTTAGATTGTATGTAACGGTTACCTGAGGCCTCTTTGGACATGACCACTAGCTTTTCTTCCAATTCTTTTTTCTCAGACATTATGGCAGATATCCTTATTTGCTCCTCTGCTAATTGTTGTTGCTCTTGCCGCCTCATCATTCCCTCTTGCCGCCTCAGCATTGACTCTTGCTATTTATTGTAGAATATTATTTCACATAAATGCTTTATATTCATTCTTTCTTCCTTAAATTTTTAGGAAATTAGCAATAAGGCGATAATTAGTTTATTACAAATCTAACCTCCAGTTGGGTCTTCAGATCTGCAAGCTCCTTCTCAATAGCTTGCATGTGATTTGGTGGACCTCCCCTGGAGGTAACGACACCAAGATCACCACTGATTGCTTGTTGTTGTAGCAAATTTAATTCTGCTCTTAGTGTAGCTGCATCTTCCTCGGCCTATTTCAAGAGGTTTATAAACATGCATTGGATTTTAAAATACACATAAAATATAAAATAGTAGTTGATTGTTTACTCGATATTGCTCTTCTTCTGCTTCCTTTAGACGCTTCTTAAGTGCTCGAACCTGCGCTGAGAAATCCTCCTACACTAAAACAGTTTAGTACTAGTATATAAAGTTAGTTGTGAAAATTCATTGCAGACAATCAGACAATCACATGATCTTCATACCCGTGCAACAAAGGCTGCGTCCTTTTCCATCGCAACATCCTTAAGAGCTCTTCTCAAGGAGGGTACAGTGTTTTGTTCCTGCAACCAATAGCACGAAAGTAGCACAAGCATATAAGTTTATATATTGAATTTCCCGTCCAGATTATTACACAACACCAGGTGTAGACGGAAGATTCCATCTACATGAAACGGGCCACAATCCTCAAACATTTGCAAGGCTATAGAGGTGACTATTTTATATTTTTGAAACCCTAGTTTCTTCAACCCAGTAAAAAATGATGTTGAACAGAAATTCAAGGAAAGTGTGGCAGAACCAATGATGTTTACATGCAGCAACTAGAAAAGTAATCCCCATGTTTGTCCTTGAAGCAGTAGAATGTTTAAGTTTGTGAAGTAACGGAATACAAACAATCATGAACTTCTTTTAGACAGTAATAAAATGGTAATATAATTCCCTGATAGAGGGGGATGCTCTGGTAACTGCAAATCTTCGAGACCGATTCAGTTTAACATCCTCAGATAAGTAGCAACTGTATACAGTTGATCCCTATGGAATAGTTCTTGATTGAATTGGCAAATGAGTCAAGCCATAGTAGGAAATGATTGTTTAAATGTTCAATGTCCTTTCTTTTCTTCAGTTCGATTTTGATAAATTGCCGGTGCCTGGTTTAATCTTGTGTTGAGTACACTGTGTTATCTTAAGCATCCTTGGTCCTAGATACCTTGACAAAATCAGTACCCATATTCTGATTGTTAGATTCTTTGTGATATTATGATGCCAATTTGCCAACCAATAACCACTTGATGTCTGACCTTTCATCTTAGGTGTTAGCTCAAGACCCTTAATTTGTAGGTGCACTTCCTGGAAACCATAGTTTCTTTTAAAATTAGTGTTCCTTCAAAATATGTTTTTACAGCAATCAGGGTTACCAACCTTTACCATCTGTTTCAAGAGATCGGTGCGAAGTGTTTCAAATCCATTTTACGGGGTTCACAACCTAAGAAGAATGTCACCAAGAGGGAAATGTCATGCCTCCGCTCAAAATGGAGAAAGGGTGCAAGTTGGGTTTGATATCCTCTTTCTAGGCTTATTTAATTGGGTACTGAAGCCTGCAACAATGAACTGGCATCCTTACAGAGTTACGGTAATATTTTATATTTCATTATGGCACATTTCAGATTCTTCCTGTGTGTCCCTGTTACATGTATATCCTAACAGAAAAACAAAACTACCTATGTCTGAAACTCCCACCTAATCAAACAACATTTAACTTATTGCAAAGCAATCAAACAAATAAATATCAGTTTGCAGGTTGATCCCATGATGATGACAAAATGTGGAAAATTGAGTTTATAATATCAGTATGTGCCTTCTGTCTGCGGTGTGGAAGACCTGGGCAAAGAAATTCAACTTAGCATACTTCGGCCATATTGATCGACAACTAAATAACTATTAGCATGGTCCAACAAGAGAGCACAATGTGTTTTCTCAATTGTACATACCAAGTCATTCACACGCTTCCGGAGCATGTCATTCTCCACTTCATTAGAATGAAGCTGAATCACAAAGAAAATCATATGATGTGTTAACAACATTAATCACAAAGTAAAAAGCTGAAATCAACACCAGGAATGCACTATGAAGCAAAGAGCTCCACACCTCTGAGATCAGTTTTTTATTTTCTTCATCCAGCTCTACATTCCTTTTCTGCAACTCTTGTAGCTGTGATACCAAGCCACTAACATCACTCTGCTACAAAATTCTCAAACAAGACATAAAATTCAAACTTTCTTTGATCAGCATCATCCTTTTCTTGCATTCATAATAATTATTCTATTAAGGTATATCATACTTCTCTCCCGAATAGCAATGTTGTTAACACAAAAACTTAATCAAAATCTAAACAATTTTGCCTGTTGCTAACTACATCACATGAGAAGAATTATAAAAGAACCAACCTCAGAGATTCCACTTCCGCTCGATGATTTCTTGATCCCAAAAACCTCTGATACCAAATAACATAATACAGATCCAATAAACACGATGTCGGATATGCAAATTGATCACTAAATACGAAACAAGATACATAAACTAACAATTAACAGAAATGTTACCGCTAGGGTTAGGAGGCCTTGTGAGATCAGGTCCAGATGAGGTTTTGCTTAGTTTCTGAGCTGCCCTCTTTTGACGAATTTCTTCCAACTGTAGTCAACAACTTCCATAAGTAATTAATCAAGTACATGTTTCTAAATATAACAGAAAATGAAATAGATTGTTCGAGTACCGTCCGTCGACCGAGAGATGCATGATGCGACGCCATTACAGAGAGAGATAATTGGTTGAAGGTTTAATTTTCAATAGTTCTGCTTGCCGTCGATAGGCGGGGCGGTCAAGCTAGTACAAAAAATAACCAATTTGAGAATAACGGTAGCAAAAATGAACAAGGTGTCTGGGTGGTGTAGTCGGTTATCACGCTAGTCTCACACACTAGAGGTCCCCGGTTCGAACCCGGGCTCAGACAACTATTATTCTTTTTCCCATTCTAATTTTTAGCTGCTAACATATTGATTTTTGAAAATAGAAAATTAAGGCAATGTTTGTTAAAAATAAGTTAGCTTATTTTCTGGATACATGTTTGAATCAATATAAATTAGTTTATTAAAATATTACTGACTAACGTTTTGGTAGTTTATTGTCTTTTTTTAATTATAACTTTGATTAATATTAATTTTATTATTATTTAATTATAAATAAATATTAATAAATTTTAAATATTACTAATATTAATAATTATTAATTATTGATTAATATAAATTAAAAATTAATTTTAATTTTAATTNAAAGAAAATGAAACATTAAAATTGAAACGTATTTTGCTACATTGTGCGAGTACCCTTCTAGTTATTAATTATATAAATTATTTTCATATTATTATTTTTTAATTATTATTCAATATATTTAGTTATCAAAACGCAAATTTAACAATTTTAACAATGTTTATGTGATATAAAAATTAAACTTATACTTATTTTATTTCATAGATGATAAAAATAGGATTTGAGAACAACAAAGCTAATTTAGATTTTTTCTTCTAATTTAAAAACTTTTCCAACCGGTTACAAATAGTTTTTTAGGTTTAAATAATGGAGTACATATAGACACGTCAAAAAAGATAAAGAACTGGGAAACAAAAGAATTGATCAAATGAGGGAAATCGATGGCAAGAGTCAACGGCGGCAATGGAGAACGGACCACAATGAGACGACAAGGGGGAGTAATGTGTTGGATGCAGAGGTTTAATAACGTAGGTTTTGATAACGATAAAACTGATTTATCTTCTCAACCGATTACGAATAGTTTTTTAGATTATAAATGAAGTAAATAATTAATTTTTAAAAATTCAATAACTATTTATAATAAAAAAAACACCTACAGAATCATTTAAAATAAAAATATTTATTAAAATGGGGAAAAAGATCAATTAATCGTTTTAATTTGAATCGGATAAAAATTAGAATGAATTGTCTGAGCCCGGGTTCGAACCGGGGACCTCTAGTGTGTGAGACTAGCGTGATAACCGACTACACCACCCAGACGACTTGTTCATTCTGGCTACGGTTAATCTTAAATGAGTCATGTTTTAAAGCAAGTTTTTGTGTCAAGAGGATTATAATTTAGAGTAATATTATAACATCTTAATAAGATCTATTTAAAAAATATGTAATATGAAAAACTGGAAACTAATAACATGATTTAGGGGCCGTTTACTAGACGTTTATCCGGTAAGTGCTTACTGGATAGTTTTCTTTATCGGATGAATATGATAAAGGTTAAAAATCTTACCCGGTAAGAGCGATGATGGAGATGAAGAGTCTTGCTCGGTAAGTGAGGGTGACAACTCTTACCCGGGTAAACGTTTATCAGGTAAATTGTTGCATACGATACCATTTTGATATACTACAATCTTACCCCGTAAAATAAATTGTGGTGTTAACTCCCAAAGGTAAGCGCTTACCTGGTAAGCATTTAGATAAACGACCCCTTATTTATTAATTATCATATTATAAAATTTTAATTATTTTTATACAATTTTGAGTCTATTAAACTACTACATTAAAAGTTCTGAAAAACTTCATTTCTTAGTTTTTCTAAAACTAAAATAATTTGTATTAAAAATATATGGGAATTTTGTTTGGGAAATATAACAACATTAAGGGTCGTTTATCAAACGTTTATTTGGGTAAACACTTATCATGGACAACTGTGTGGACCCATGGACTTACGAGCCTTGATCGTTACAAAGGGCGATGCTGGAACTGTCCATATCCGATTCATCCTTCGAAACCATATCACATCCTGAATATGATGAAATAGTCAAATAGGATGAATTGAGACGGTATTTACCGGATAAATATGGTAAATACTAAGAACCTTACCTGGTAAGAGTAAAGACAAGTACCAAGAGTTTTACCCGATAAATGAGAATGATGACTCTTATCACGATTCTATTAAATTTTCTAGACTTTTCTCTACTTTATATTAAAAACATGGTTCTTTACTCAATTAGCCTTTAGAAGAATATAAAAATAACCTATAAATACATTTTTTACAAAAGTAACTATTCATTTCTACAAAAATTTCATGAAATGACCCAAATATGGACCCCACGAAACCTTATCGTGTCATCGCATCTATTTACAACCTCTCGAGATTTTGTGGGACCCATGTGTATTTTTTTTTTGAACCTTTTGTCATTTTGTAAATTTTTTGAAGAAATGAGCGGTCACTTTTGTAAAAATAAATATATATTTAGGATATTTTTGTAATTTTCAAAGAAAGTTAGTTATGTCGAGAACCCATTAAAAGATGAATATTTAGAGAACAATTTTAAGGGATGTTTGGGATTGTTTATTTGAAACAACTTATGTTTTTTTTTCTATAAAAATACTTATCAATTTATTATAAGTCAGAAAAGTTTAGCTTCTTTAAAAACTCCTTATTACCGGTTTGACACCGGTATAAATTGTTTATCCAAACACTCAAAAAGTGCTTATTACCGGTTTGACACCGGTATAAGTTGTTTATCCAAACACTCAAAAGTGCTTATTATCGATGTCATACCGGAATAAGTCAATAAATTGTTTTTATAAGCAATCTCAAACATCCCCTAAAACTAGGCAAAATTTATGGAAGACAATAACATTGAACATACTTTGAATGTAACATTAAGAGATGGTCTATTAAATGTTTACTGAGTAATCGCTTACTGGATGTCACTTATTTTATAGATGAATATGACAAAGACTAATAATATTATCCGATAAGATGTATAACAAAGGCCGAGAATTTTATTTGATAAGTGAGTGAGAAAAATCTTATCTGTTAAATATTTATTAAGAAACATTTATCAATAATCTATTTTGATGACCAAAAAGTTTATTAGAATAAAAGGCAAAATAAGGTGATATCCAACATATAAACTCAAAATTCGCTTATATAAGATAAACTTATTATGTCCCAAATATCTGAGTATGTTATTTGGAGGGGCCATGCATGGAAATTGATTTAAATAGCTATTTCATCAATTTAAATTGGTCTCCTAGTATTCCTCTTCCGAGTTTACCTAAATATTACTACATCTGTAATATTGTGGACCTGGGTTTTAAAAAAAAAATCCATCAAGTAATTACGTACCTGAGTTGAATATGATAATTTTTTTCTGTCTTTTAACCACGTCTGTAATATTACGAACATAATGACATTTAGGTAAACCTGAATTATGAGTTGTTTATTTACCTCTTAATAGTTAAATTAAGAGGCAACATCTGAATCGTTAAGATGTGAATCTTGTTTGACAAAAAAAAAAATCTGCCTCTTAATAGTTATAAAATACTCTGAATGATTTTGCATCACGAGTCTCCCTTAACTATTCAGCACCCTAATTTCATTATAAACAATCATCAATCGATTATATTTCATTTTGCACTATATCATAAAATTTTCTTAATCATTCTATACTAAATCATTTAGCAACTGACAAACAACCCCGAAACAACTAAAAGATTATCTAAAAGGGTGAAATGGGTGTTTGTGTCAATTTCCCAGCCATGTATACGTAAAGCATCCATTATTCTAACAAGTACAAAAATGCAGACATCTAACATGTACATTTATGCCATGACCCACGAGTTCAGATTCCTTTTGACAGTCTGTCGTCTTCCTCCTCTCATGTAATACGTCGTCTCTCTCACCTCCACCGCTTCTAAATCTCATCCGGCTGGATTCCATGGCTTCCGTCATTGAAGCTGGTTGGAAGGTATACCTGTCTCCACTTTACCTTCAACTATTCTCTGCCTTTTTATGCTTTACTTGTTCGTTTGCCCTAATTTGATCTCATTGACGGATGTTTCTCTTAATACTTATTTTTTCATTGAACTACTACATACGAATACTGCTGTTATTAGATTTGAATATATGAAATCAATGGAGCATTGAGGTTTTAGATTTACGAGTACGAACTTGTAGTATTGCAGATATGTGGATTGATGAGCAATTATGTTTAGGTGGTAAAATGAGGCATTGATTTAGATTGATACAAATTAGGGCAAACAAACAAGTAAAGTATAAAAGGACAGAAAAATAGTTGAAGGTAAAGAGGAGACAGATAAACATTTCAACCAGCTTCAATGACGGAAGCCATAGAATCCAATCGGCTTTATGTGAGAGAGACGAAGAATTACATGAGAGGAGGAAGAGAACAGATTGTCAAAAGTAACCTGAACTCATGGGCCATGGCATAAATGTTCACATTGATGTATGCATTATGTACTTGCTAGAATGGTGGATGCTCTACGTATACATGACCCCTCCTCCTAAGATACTTGATTTTTGGGACACTTTTTTTTTGTGGAAGATATTTTTAGGTATATAAACTTAAATGAGATTTTAGTTAAATCCATGACCTTCTCATGAGTATAAACCCATTTTTTCTTCTATAGCCAGGAGCTATAAGAGTTGGACGGTGAGTAGGGATGGATCTACGTTATAGAGAAACAGGGTTAAAGTAGTCATGTTGAGTAAATATATTAGACCGTCAAAGTTATTATCAAACTCGAGAAACCTTTCGAAGATAGAGAATATCACCATTAAAAGTGAGAATATGATATTTTTCCGGAGGCGCCGTCCTTTTTCCAGGAAAAAGTGAGAATATGAATTAATTACATGTTTATAGAGGGACCACCCGGCACCCGCTCTGAATTGTCTAGATTCATCACTAATAATGAATGAAACAGCTATGGACATTGGACCCTAGGAACTTTTGTGGTTTAGTCGATTTGCCATCTATCATCCAAATTCTTGCTATATCAAGTACTAGGAGCATGGGATTTGCGTCATATTTATTTTATTTACAGGCAGACCACAAGTGATTCTGCTTCCTAAGATTCGCAAAGCAGACAAATAGCTTCTGGATATCAATATAATTATTTGGTCTCTGTTAAGGACTTGTGGCAATTTTCTATAAGCAACAATATTTGATAACATCTAAGAAGACGTCCATTCGTAGGTTTAACATGTTGGTTGTTTTGTGTCAAATACTTCTATCTGATGGAATGAATCTTTTATATCAATGCAGTTAGTAATCCATTATTGTCATAAAATCTTGACACTTGATCAAATTTCAAAATTCTTCATTTTATATGAATAAAATACATGTAGCTTAATTTGTTTTTGTACCTTAAGAGACCACTTAGGGTCTGTTGTTAGCAGCTTAAGAGCTCAATGTGACTCGCAGCTTATTCGATCAGTTATACGTGACTGTTTGGTAGTGGCTTAATGATATAGAAAGTGGCTTATTCAGTAAGCTTCTAGGGAAGAGCTTTATGCAGAAAGCCAAGTCTTTTCCAGACCTATCCCTCCCAATTAAAAAAACACGTTCCTTCCATCTATGAAAAATACCTCCTAAATAAAAACCTTCCCAATCTATACAGACAAATTAATCCACATAGACAACTTTATCCATACAGGACTTAGTGAAAAACCAAACCAAACAGCCCCTTATTCATCTTTTACTAGAATTCTGACAAGTGCATGATAAAAGATGGATGATGAGGATGTCTATGGAGCAATGATTGTGGATGATCTACACCGTGCTATCTTCCATCTATTTGCAATGGTGAATAAGAAATCACATATCGTTAACATGAGAATTTAGCAGGTCATCATGAATTCCATTTTTCTTTGTGACTGACCAAAAAGTCACGGGTTCAATTAGTAGAACCAGTCCCTTTGAAAATGAAGAGGAAAACTATGCAGGAAGACTTTGCTATCAATACCCTTGTACATGTAGTAGTAACTACTAAGAGGTCTTGGTTCTGACTTCTGAGATCAACTCTGAGCATCTCGTCCACGCAAACACTATGCTGCATGAGATGCTCATTTGTTTAGGAGCAAAAGCTTTAGACCATTTGATACTGCTTTTTTAATATACAAATCCTCAGATTCAATTGTACGATCCCACATTGGTTGGGGAGGGGAACGAAGGTTGCCTTATAAGGGACTGGATACCCCCTATATCAGACGCGTTTTAAAACCGTGAGTCCATGTGTGGACAAAGCAGACAATAACTGTTTCGGTTGGCCTGGGATGTTACAAGGAGTCATAAGATGGAGGATTGTTGTTGACCTGACCTGTCCTTTTATTTCTTTTTGCAGTACTTGATCACCCATTTCAGTGACTTTCAGTTGGCATGCATCGGTAGCTTTTTTCTTCATGAAGCTGTCTTCTTCTTATCAGGACTTCCTTTCATATACATAGAAAGGGCAGGATGGCTCAAACAGTACAAAATTCAGGTTTCCCTATTGCATCTGCTGTACCCTTTGACTCAAATCTATTGCAGTACACTACAGTGATGGATTCTCTTTAGTTTATGTCTTCATTTTTAATCTTTGTTTGTTATCCAAGTGAACTCTCACTGCTGTTTCTACACGTGGTCTTGTATACATATGGTTATGTATGATTGCTCCTTGCTAGCATGCCCTTGCCTACCAATAATTCCAAGCTTATGCTTGGGATGCTTTTTGGGACTAAGGGCTTGTTTGTTAGTAGCTTAATGAGTTTAGTGGGACTTGCATCTTATTCGGTCAGCTATACATGACTGTTTGGTAGTGGCTTATTTAGTAAGCTTCTAGGGGGGAGCTCTGTGCAGAAAGCCAAGTTTTTTCCAAATCTGCTCTTCCCAATTTAAAAAACATGCACCTTCCATCTAAGAAAAACCCATCCCAAGAAAAAACTTTCCCAATCTATGCAGATATATTAATCAACACTGTCAGCTTTATCCATACAACACTTATTGGAAAACCAACCAAACAGCCACTAACTCGTTGTTCTTTTAATCAATCTACATTGTGTGTCCTGTAAACCATAAAGCTGTTTTTTTCATGAGGGCACACTCAAATTTCGTATTCGCTCTGTATCCTTTTTCCTACTGTGGAATTTGGTTTTGCAAGATCTTCATCGGTTGATGGGGACAAACTTAATTAGAGAGTGGTACAGGGATAATTTTGGACTAATGATCCTAGATGAATTGCAATGGTTGTTATGTACTTCTATCACAGATTGAGAAGCATTAGCAATCTATGTATGACGAGTAGCGAACATTTCCACAGAAAATGCATTATTTTGTACTTCATACCTTACTGCAGTTATTAATGAAAATATCTAAACATCCATATTTCTTAGAGTATCTTCGTTGCATTTATAAGTCTATTGTGCAAGATACCCATGGTGTTAGAAATCATTTGAGGCGTACGCCTCGAGGCGAGGTGGCCCAAAACCGCACCTGAGCTGGCGCCTTTTGGACCCTGGACGAGGCTTACGCTTGGTTCACTGAGGCGGTTCGGCGAGGCATTAGGCGTTGTCGAGGCATTTTGGCGAGGCGTGAAGCATTGTTGAGGCATACGCCTCAAATAATCTGCTTTAGTAATGTAGTGGTACTTCCTTTATGACAGTAGTAGTGTAGTAGTACTTCCTTTATAGTATAAGCATCTTTTTTTTCTTATTTTAAAAAACTAAAATTAAAGCCCAATAGCCCCAAAAAGTGTGTTTTGATCCTTCCTCATCCTCCAAGCAACCAATTTTTTTGCATCCTCTCAGCCTATCTCACAGTTTCACTCTTTCCTCAGTCAAGAACCACTTAACCAACGCCCTTAGTAATTTAGTATTATATATTGTATATAAATGTATACATTTGTGTAGTATATATACATATTTTGGTGTATATATATTTCCTTCTCGGGGTTTACACTCCTCGAGGCCCGATTCCACCTTTTAAAACCTTGAAGATACCTTTAACATGCTTAAACTGAATCTAACTGGACCAATATTGTTATCATCATCAACTATTGCCATTTACTTTGCAGACGAAGAATAACACTGCTGAAGCTCAAGAGAAATGTATTACTCGCCTACTGTTGTATCATTTTTGCGTGAACCTACCTGTTATGCTTGCTTCCTATCCGGTCTTCAGATTCATGGGAATGAGAAGTAGTCTTCCGCTGCCGTCCTGGTATTTTCAGGTTCTTTATATACTATAGCTTTAGTTGTAGATCATTGCATGTACCTCTGGGTGCTGCCGGATCAATTACTAGCTAGTTTGAAAATTATTGTTTGTTTTACATACCGGTTCTTCTTCTCATCTCTTTATTACTTTCTTCTTTTGTATTTTTCATTTCCATATGTGTGAAATCCCACATCAGTTGAGGAGGACAGAGGTTGCCTTCTAAGGGACTGGATACCTCCTTTGTCGGACGCGTATGAAAACCATGAGTCTAGGGTGTGGATAAAGCGGACAATATCTAGTATGGTTGGCTGCGGATGTTACAAATGGTAGCAGAGCCGGGAACCGGACTGGTGTGCCACTGGGCTGGGCTCCCTAGGGGGTGGATTGTGAAATTCCACATAGGTTGGGAGGGGAACAAAGGTTGCCTTATAAGGGACTGGTACATCTTTTGTGAGCGTGTTTTAAAACCGTGAGTCCGGTGTGGATAAAGCATACAAGATCTGGTACGGTTGGCTGGGGATGTTATCATATCCGGGAATGTGACTGGTGTGCCAGCGTGGACGCTGGGCTCCCCCCGGGGGGGTTGGATTTGAGATCCCACATCGGTTTGGGAGGGAAACAAAGGTTTCCTTAGAAGGGATTGGATACCTCTTTTATCCGACGCATTATAAAACCGTGACTCCATGTTTGGATAAAGAGGACAATATATGGTACCCTTGGCTACGGATGTTATAGTATGTAACTCGTTTGCTTTTTTACTGTGCAGGAAAGTAATGTCGACTCAGATACTATTCTACTTCATTGTGGAGGATTTCATATTTTACTGGGGACACAGGATTTTACATACCAAATGGCTGTATAAGCATGTCCACAGTGTCCATCACGAGTAAGTGAAGGCACCCAACGGAATTATGATTTTCTGATTTCCATTCCATTTGCCTATTGTTCTATGTCGTGTGTACTTATTGATACATATGTATCATCTTACAGGTATGCAACACCGTTTGGATTGACTTCTGAATACGCTCACCCGGCTGAGATTCTATTCCTTGGGTTTGCTACAATTTTCGGTCCAGCTATCACGGGGCCTCATCTTATAACTCTTTGGTTGTGGATGGTAGTGAGAGTTCTCGAGACAGTTGAGGCACATTGTGGTTACCATTTCCCGTGGAGCCCCTCAAACTTTCTGCCTTTGTATGGAGGGTTAGTATGCATAGTTCATAATTTGAATTACTGTTTACTTGCAGATTGGCTAATATTGTGTGACGGGTTTCTATTTTTCTTTGAAAAATTTCAGTTCTGATTTTCATGATTATCATCATCGGCTCATCTATACCAAGTCTGGCAACTACTCATCAACTTTCATCTACATGGACTGGTAAGGCTCTAAATAAGCATGTGCGGGGGTGTTTGGTTTGCATAATGAAATTTGATGGAATTGGAATCCATCAAAGGAATTTGTCTTTGACGGAATTAGAATGGAATTTGACCACGCTTTTGGTTGGTAGGAATTGGAATGTAATGTAATGTCTTAAAAGAATTGAAATATCCATGTTTGTTTGGCAGAAAGTAGATTCACAACTGGAGTGAAACAACAATAAATGACCAAAATTAAATTATAAATATAATGTAACGATAATATTAATTGGTGGAGGGTGGGGTGACGGGAACGGGCGCGGGTGGGTGGCGGGTATGACGGCGCCAATAGTGGCTTCGTGGTGGTGAGTGGGGGGTTAGGGTGGGGGCCATTGGCCCATTGGTGGAAATAAGCTTGTTATACTTCACATCACAAACATTCTACTTTCCGGTGCACTTTTCACATGTCGGGGCCTTTCATAGAAACAATTGCTATACTCTATGAGGTAGAGGTCAGGTCTTGATACATCGTACCTCTTCTAGGCCCCACCTCTCACTGGCATATCTTGGGCTCGTTTGGCTTGGTTTATTAGATAGGGTGATGGTAGGAGTAGAGATAGGGGCAAGTGGCAACTAAAAAGGAGTAAGATGTCGCTTGTGTAAGAAAACGACTATTGCCTTCGTTCTAAAATAAGTATTCACATTTATATTTTAGTTTGTCCCAAAATAAGTGCCTACTTTCCAATTCTACCCATAACTGTGAGATGGAGAAATTCATTACTCCCTCTATTATTACGGGTAAAATTGTCATTTAGTTGATAGAAAAGTGTAACAATTACACATTTCTAAACTTTGTTGCTTTTTCATTGTGGAAATTTATTTTCGGAGGAAGGGGGTACAACGGTTCGAACAAACCAAACCAAATGAACCTGTTATGGAGGTGGGATCGGTAGGATGGGATATACGTAGACCTGACCTCTAGCCCAAGGAGTAGAGTGACTAATATTTTTTCTATTATATCCCTATTCTCAATCAGTCTTCTTTTTTCTATATATTCTGGAAATTCATGAGATACAACGAGAATCTAATAACGAACATGATGTAGGCAAACATCAATAAATTGCTGAACCATGTACACAAGTAGTGTTTAATTTTCTGTTTCTTGCAACTACTGTTGTGTGTGTGAGATTAATGACGGAAATAGCTTTGTCTGCCAGCATAGTTATGAATCACAAAACGACTTTGATCTTGCAACTCGGTTTTTTATTAAATTCCGTGATCTTATTCGTACCTTTTTGTCAGGATATTTGGTACAGACAATGGCTACAGAAAACTGAAGGCACTGAAAAGCGAAGAGGTAGCCGAGTTCAAAATGAGCTAACAGCACCAACAAAAAGTCAGATTTTGGACCGCCTCGAGTATGTATCCCGACTAAGGTAATCACTCCGATCCCCCTTTTACCGCTTGCAATTTGTTCTTTTCTGTTGTAGAATCTGTTCAAACTTTCTTCCGGAAATGAGCACACTCGTTTCCCTAATTTTGAACGTTGTGTTCTTCGTTTGTCTACATGTCTCTATGAAGATCGTCCTTTGTAAGACTTGGTTCTACTCGTTGCTTATTACGTCAACACAAATCCATCCGTGTCCTATTGATTTTCATTTTTGCTGTAACCGTGGGTGTTCGGGACAACTTGCATGTAGACTTATCCCATGAGACCTGAAGATAACCGTGAGGAAAATCCCTAGTAGCCTTAAGAAGACTCGAACAGAACCCTGTTGTTGCCCTTCTATTATTCATATATTTTTTTAAATACATATAGGGGTCTAAACAATAACCAAAAATTAATTGCAACTGGGTCTTAGCATACATGATGACCATTATTTTTTGATTGAATTCTAACAAAATATATAAATATATAAATAAATATATAAATGAAAATATAAATCACTCCATTATTTCATCCTTCGTGCAAGGCCTAAGCTTGATGGTTCTAACATCTGCTTTGTCCACTTGTACAATTTCACAGCATTCTCTTCTTCTTCCCTCCTGAAAACAAAATAAATAATATGAAACATGCCACTTCCATTAGTATTTACATTTATATTTTATTTTGTTCCAGAAAAAGGTTTTGGTAGTAATTTAATGAGTTTAATTAGATTCATAGCTTATTCAATCAGTTATATATGACTATTTGGTAGTGGCTTAATGTAAGCTTCTAGGGGAGCTTTATGTAGAAAGCCATGTTTTTTCTGAACATGTCTCTCTCAATTAAAAAACATGTTCCTTTCATCTATTATGAAAAAGCTCCTCCAAACAAAAATTGTCCAATCTATACAGAAAGAGTAATCCAAACAGACAAATTTATCTATACAGGAACTAATGGAAAACTAACAAAACATCCCTTAAGCGTCCACTTTCAGAATTAAGACATACTTTTTTAGTTTTTCTCTTAATAATGAGATGAGAAATTCATTTCTCTCTCTGTTATTAAGGTAAAATTGTGTTTAGTTAATTAAAAAATAATAATAATTACACATTTCTAAAATTTTATTCATTTTTTATTGTGGACGTTTGTTTTGGGATGTATTTATATTGTACTTTGTGTCAACGTCTAGAATATCAAACCCTGAAACTGCACCAGATCCGATCGAATCATTTGGTGTGATTGGGTTGTGGTACCAATCTTGGTTCAAAATAAACCTAGATAACATTTGTTCAATTTGGTTCATGGTTATGAACCCAAATTGTATACCAAAGATAACAGATCTAGATCGGTTCAAAACCTGAAACACCGAACTAGCACCATTAACTTAATAGTTTCGATCAAAAATTGGACCACTTAATGAGACCTAAAACCAGACTCACCGTTTCGAGTCTCGTAACTGGTGATATAACGAGAATCTTTTCCACATCATGAGCCGATTGATTCCCACTTGCCAAGCAAGGTGGCAACCGCCGTGGTAGTTTTCGAACATAGCTCATGATCACCTCCTCCGGATTTCCTCTGCCACGGGAGTCCACCACCGAATCAAAGTAAAAAGTATGAGGAATTTCACAAGGATCCTTGGAAAGACCCCTAGTGTTCACCATGAAAGCAGGCTTAGCTCCTTTTCGCCACTCACCGAATGTTTGAAGGGGCACCTGTAAAACGCTTGGAGGGAGTATTTTCTCGTAAATATGGAGAGAGTAGCCCCAAGATAACGAGAAGGTCCAGTCTTTAGGGTGGTCATAGCAAATGCTTTGTTGGAATAGCCTTGATTGGTCGGTTTTGGCGGCTTTCATAAGATGGTTTAGTGATTGGAGGCGGTCCATGGTGGGGAAGAGTGGCTCCACCGCGTCAAGGTGGTGGAGAGAGACCATCGGAGCTTGTGGGTGTGCTGCTAGAAGACCTGATATGTCCCCATGTAGATCAATCTGCACCGAAAGGGGTTCAAATGTCAGCATACATAGTGTCAACAATATAATTTTTTTTTTGGTAACTGTGGGTATCTAGGACAACTTTACATGCACGAACTAATCCCTCACGTGACCACGAATAGTCTGAAGTTATCACAGGTGAACCTCAACAATATAATTTGTGACCCTATCAACAGATATATTTTCGCACACTTTGCACAATCTAAGGGTCTTCACTGAAGCAATAGCCATGCCCCACATCCGGGTCAGACATATTGAGTTTGTTTGGTTATCGACATATATATATATATATATATATATATATATCTATTGCAAACTGTTCTCGTTGCATTAGTGATGCTATCAGACGATATACACGTCACAAAACATGGTACATTTGGCATCGGGTTATTGGATACATTCGAGAGGCATTTCGATTTGACTTATAAGGAATTAAGATACAGATACAAAAATATTTGTGATTTTTGGGTAATCAACTTGGTAGCATTATACTTGTGCTAGCAAAAATTACATTTATTCACATTCATGCCCAAGGTTAAATTAAATAACAACAAACCAAGATAATTTCATGCAACCAAATGTCCCTCTTAAGAAGTCATGAAGTCATGGTTTAAATCTCATCAAAGGTGAGGAATATGTGTGTTTATTTATCGTATATAAATATTATATACTTTAAAAAAAGATAATTTCATGTATAAGTATTACAATTATAAATAAAAACACTTGTCAGTATTTATAATAAAGTTTTGCTATTTTTATTTTACTACATATTATAAACAAAGCAAAACTTGGTCACATACTGTCATACTGATATTAATATAATTAAATAAAAAGTAAATAGCAATCATTGGTGTTATATAATTATATATATATTTTAATAAACTTAAGGGGCGTTTACTAAACGCTTACCCGATAAGTGTTTACCGGACAATTTTCCTCATTGGATGAAACATGGCAAGACCCAAGAATCATACCTGGTAAGAGCGATGATAAGAATAGAGAGTCTTACCCGGTAAGTGAGGGTGACGACTTGTTGAAAAAAAATGGGCTAAAAATTGAATACATTTATTTATTTTGGTAAATTTCCTAAACCACGGTTTCTCATAGGCCAGACTCTAAGAGTGCGTTTGGTACACTAGACAGGACATGACAGAGATCTATGTTCCATGTTTGGCATGAATTTTATGTGAAACAGATAGGAACAGAGTGGAAAAAAGTGGAACAGCCCTGTTCCACCCCTATCTCATGGAACATGGTGGAACAAGGTGAAACAGACTTATATTTACCAATATAACCTCAAAATAAAACTTAATTATCTTCTAAAACATCAAATACATCTCTTTTTTTTACATTTTATTCATTCTTTAAATTTCATTTATTGTATTTTATGTTTCTTAAACTTTCATTTTACTGTCCTCAAAATATTATTTTTATACGGTTTCTATACTTTTATTAATTTATGTAATTTATTATATATTAATAATAAAAAATAATGTAGAAAATAGATAAAAATAAAAACAGAATATCACATAAACTTTTTATTTGGTGTCATTTTAATTGTTTTGACGAAAACTTCAAATCATATATTTTGTTATAAAAAATAATTATTCTATTATAATTTAATAAATTACATAAATTAATTAAAATAAACAACTCATCATGAGTAAATTAGTCATTTTACTTGTTCTGTTCTGTCTAGTTTTATCTTACCAAACATTAACAATTGCCCTGTTCTATCTTATCTTTTCTGGACATCAAACACACCCTAAAAGGCAAACCCAATACCATACTTTTAGGACAGTAAAATGGGAACAGTAAAAACAGGAAAATTTACCTGATGAAAACCCCTTTCTTGAGTAAGTGAAACCCCCAAATCAGCCATACAAGATTGCAAAATGTGATCACTCCCATGATAACCGTGGTACTTCTTTAAACACCCATCTAAATTCTTGACCAATAGCTCCACAAGAGGGTAACTCAAAGCAAATCCAGCACCACCAAAACCCATCCCAAATGAGAACAGACTGTTAGATATAATACTCTCTGAATTCATACCAACATAATAATACCCATTGTGATCATATTTCTTCAACACCTCCACTAAATTCTCCGGCAAGAACACCGTGTCATCGTCTGCCATCACGTACCACCGCACGCCGCCTCCTTTCTCCTCCTTGAACGTCTCCTCGACCACTCGTGCCATCCTAACGGTGTACGGCACACCCTTGTGGGCACTCGAGACACGTACTGGCGGAGAAGTGGGCGGCCACGGGAGGTACCGGATCGGGGCTTCGTCTAAGAAGAGGAACCCACGGGTTACGTTAGGACTCCACCATGATTCAATATAGTGTTTCTTCGACTGCCAAGTTTTCGTGGCACCCCCTATGCCGAATACGATGTGGGAGATGTTGGTAGGGGTAGTTTCGGGAATCGGGTAAGGGGTTTTATGGGTATTCTTGTAGTAATTGAGATTGAAATTGGGTAATAAGATTTGGGTTGTTTGAGAACATGGGTTGGTGGAAATCCAAATCAAGATCAAGATCAAGATCAAGATCATGGAGAAGAATATGAATGAGAGTATGATTATGGACTTGCATAGTCTTCTTGTTCTTGGTTTTTGAGGGGTTTGTGGATACATGTCTGAATGAATAAGATTTGAACAAATGAATTGGATTATTAATTTTTTGGAAGTAATTTGTGTTTTATAAAATTCTTGAAATCTTTTTGTTAACACCTTGTAAAGGTGTTTGATTCATCATGTGAATGTGATATGTGCAATTGCTTCATCATCTTTTAACATGGTTCCATGCCAACATTTTCCATGCCATGTTTTTCTATTTTTTTACCTCTTAATAGTTTCATTAAGAGGCAACCTCTGAATTATTAAGAGATGAATCTTGTTTGGAAAAAAAAAATGTCTCTTAATGGTTCTAAAACCCTCTGAATGATTTTGTATCCTGGATCTCCCTTAACCATTAAGAGCTCTAATTTCATTGTACACAATTACCAAACAATTATATTTCATTTTGCACTATATCATGAGAGTCTCTTAATCATTCTGACCACTTAATCATTCTGCACCAAACCGTTCAGCAATTGCCAAACAGCCCCTTACTATAACGATGAAAACGGGTATATATTTAGTGGGAGGTTAAAATAAAAAGGCTAATTATCATGAGAAAGTAAAGAAAAGAAAAGTTCATATGTGAATCAATGAAAAAATCTATTTAAACATACACATGTGAAATCATATGAATCATATAGCATTTTTTTTTGTAGGGAAGGTCAACAACTCAAATATGAATCTTTCCTTCTTACTTTCGAATAATATCTAAGGGCCGTTTTACTAAACGCTTACTTGGTAAGTACTTACCGAATAAATTTCCTTATCGAATGAACATGACAAGGACCAATAATCTTACTTGGTAAAAGCGACGAGAATGATGAGTCTTACCCGGTAAGTGAAGATTACGACTCTTACCCAGGTAAGCACTTACCCGGTAAATTGTTGCATTCAGTACGTTTTGATGTATTAAAATCTTACTCATCAAAATAAATTATAGTGTTAACTTCTATAGGTAAGTACTTACCGGGTAAGCATTTGGGTAAACAACCGCTTACTCTTTTTACTTGAACTGATCCTATAAAATGTATATTTTATGAATTTTTTATTATTATTATTATTTTTATTTTACATCCAAAAATTTAATTTACAACCATTTTTTTTAACCTTTTTGTGGTGTTTTTCTACTTGATGTCTCATGAAATTTGGGTATCCGTTATCAAAAGCATTATAATAATCTCTTTTTTATTCACACATTTTACGTTTTCGATGTGTTCCGTATCGTGATTTTTTATTTTATTTTATTTTATTTATATAAAAGAAAATAATATATGGGTATTCATTATGAATATATTTGAGAAAATTTAAATCCTAAATGAATAACCGTTAAAGTATTTACCTCGGAAAAGTTATGGTCTTTTTAGGTAAACGTATTCAAGAAACCAATCCGGTATTTTTTATTCTTTTACTCAGAAAAATATTTTATTGTATATATTTTTATAGGAGTTTAATAATATAGGATAGGGGTGTTTAAAAACCCGATTAACTCAACACGAAATAACTCAACTCGAAACAACTGATTTTCAATCGAGTTGTAAAATTTTCAAACCGTATGTATATGGTTACTATTATTTGAACACAACTCAACTCGATGAACCCGATATTATTTTATTTATTGGATTTAATATGATTGTTGAATTTATATTAATATATACATTAGACAATCACACTATCACGTACGCTTTTTCATATACACATATTTTCAATTTATTCACATCTCTATATAACTCATTTGTATATATGTTCAGTAACTGTGAACATATATATGTAAACTGAGAAAATTAACTGAATGTGATATATATATAAAGTATGGATAAGTTGTATCAAATGGTTGATGATGAAAAAGAAATTATAAGTAGAGAAATAACATATTTAAGGTTAGAAAAATATTTTAGTGTACTAAAGTATCAACCCGACCAACCCGTACGATTTGTTGGGTTGGGTTGGGTTAAGATTTTTCAAACCGCAAACATTGGGTTGAATTGTTCAAATGTTTTCAATCCGATCAACCCAACTCATGAACACTCCTAATATAGGGATCAAAAAAGGTTGAAAATCGTTAGAACTTATCTAAGCTCTAATCTGATTTTGATCCTATTATTTTAATTTAAAGATATTTTTAGTTAGAAAAAATAGCATGATTATTATTTTGATAACAAAGATTCATCAAATGAAACTGACACTAATCCAGCAAATGAAACACAGTGGTAATAAATACTTTTGATTGTTTAGATAAATAGCTTATACCGATGACAAATTGATAATAAAGAGTTTTTAAAAAAGTTAAATCATTCTAACTTACATAAGTTGTTTCAAATAAGCAATCACAAACACCCGTTCAATTATATAAATATAGTTTTTATAAATATACTATATTTCATATCATGAAATCCGAGTTTCACCTCGTGAAGTCCATGCATGATCGGTTATAATCGTTCTCCCCCTTTCTTCCCCAATTATCCAAACCCTAACCCTAGATGATTCTTCCAACTCCTCTTTAATGGAATACCAATCTTCTAAATTGATTTTCCAATAATAGTAAGGTAATCGGAGTCAGGAAGCGGAATTCCAGACCCCCTTGAAGAATTTCCTTTTGTCGATGCTTCAAATTCCTTATGTGCTATCTCCGCCGCCACAATCGACACTGATGGTCCAACATCGGAGCAGATCTGAGATCTGTTCACTATCGATCCGTTGTATACAGATCCAGGATAACAGGGTCGGCCCTGGCCACGTGCAGCCCGTGCGGTCGCACAGGGCATCAAAGTCTAAAGGGCATCAAGTTGTTATTTATTACTAGTTTTGGGTTTAATAATTTGGAAATTAGACAACTGAGCTTTTAACTATAAAAATAGGCCTAAGGCCTAGTAGTGATGAATATTGAATGCATATCGTTAGCCGGTTAACGCCATCATTCCAACAACTCAATCTAATTTCTATTGTTCTTCAAGGCATGGAGTTCTCTTTTCAGCCGATTAACGGTCATGAAATGAGATTCAAGAAATCAAAGATGTAAATCTCAAATGACTGACTTCTACTGTTGATTGAACTTACCGAGTTGCTGTGTGAGTCATATTATGATTTATGAATCTTTAAATCTTCTTGCAAAAAAAAAAAAAACTAAATTTCTAACTGATTATTATAAAGTTAGGTCATGTGGTCATGTGGGTTACTGACCTACTAGGCTAAGGCTTAAGAGGCTTTTGTCATTTTGATAATGGGTATTCCTCTTACATATTGAAATATCTGAGAATTGCATTTTTCAATGCACATGAGCACATTACTCTATCAACATAGCTGGAGCACACTGCACAACATTAATAACATATTGTGATATTGTCTTAATTATTGGGCACTTGTTATTTGCAATGCACACTTGCACAGTAACATAGATTATGAAGTTTACAATTTATTATTGTTCTTTTGACTTTTGTTTACTTTGAGGTTTGGCATTACCGCATTTGATTTATGGGTCGTTTGATTGGTTTTTTTATTAAGTTCTATATGGATAAAGTTGTCTGTATGAATTAATCTGTTTATACAAGTTGGAAAAAGTTTTTGTTTGTGAGAGTTTTTTCGCAGATGTAAAGAGCGTTTTTTCAGTTTGAAGGGACATGTTTGAAAGAAATTTTTTTTGACTTTCTATATAAAGCTCCCCTAAAAGATCATTGGATAAGTTACTTTCTATATCATTAAGCTACTACGAAAAAGTCATGCATAGTTTTTGCGAATAAGTTGTTAGTTCTATTAAGCTGCTAATAGATAGACTCTTAGCCTTTAGTCGTTAATCCTGTAATTTTTGAGTTTTACTTTTTGCTTATTATGACAGTAATTTGGATGTAATTTACTATTTTAGTTAAAAACTAATTATAGTTTTTATTGTCTTTTAAGTCCTATATATTGAAACAAAGTTTCTATTTTGCTAATTTCAATTTAGAAAAGGGAAAAATGGAAAAGAATGAAGCACGATCTTAATCTAGGATTTATCCTTTTATCCTTTTATATTTTGTATTCGGGGTTTTGATTTTTATATCTCCTCCATTATTATTTTTAATTAATAAAAATCAACATGGGGATGAGACACTTAACTTGAATAGGTTCTAAACTCTTTTAAAAAATCACATGTTTCATTGTTTCATTGACTTAACAAAATAGGCTTAGGGGCATTTTTTATTATTTTCGCCACAGAGTATCAAAAATCTTGTGACCAGCCCTGCAGGATAATCATCTTCATCATCAAGTTCATCCACGCTTCATGAACGCCGTAAATGGATCTTCTCATGGACATGAATCTTTCCGTTTTCCAAATCGCCGACAGTTTCGTTTTCTGGTTTTTTATAGCCGGAAAACTCGCTATACAGTGGCACACCTTGTTCACTTGAGTTACCTAGGGTATAACTCATGTTCAGAATCCCTTGTGGAGTACCAGATGGATGGCGGAAATGAAGCGTGACAAAACGACTTCCGGCACGGTAGTGCTTGTGCTCCGGCGTGATTAGATCGTCAATCATAACATTAACGTCGCCGCCGAGAAGAACGTTGCGAAACTAGGAAACGTTGTGGATCTCGATCGTAAGAGAGGATGATTCGGAGAACAAGAACTGATCGTTGATTTTGAACATGAGTTTTTCGTTCCGGGTAGGATTGGCGTTGCCTTTGGCGTCGACGAGGGTTAAAGCTGAAAAGAGATTTACATCTTTATCACTTGTAAGAGCAACTCTAATCATATAAAAAAAAACACCAAATATGGTGGATCCATAAACACTAAAAAAACTCAAATCCATTCACACTTTAAAAAAAAGTAAATTTGTGGACCTTATATTAAAATAAAATATTTTATTTACTATTTTTAATAACAATGATTATAATTTGTAATAGATATTATAACAATAAATAATTAGTAATTAATTTATTTAATGAAAAAATGTTAAATAATATAATAAAA